AATAAAGTAGAGATTTGAATATGCCAAGCTACAAGTAGACCTGAGCTGATTTGGGGTACAGTACATGTACAGCAGGATCCAATTACTGAATGTGCATCCCTTTCCCCTGGACCTGGGTTTCTTTACAGATCAGGTTTCCTGCTATCTATAGGCTTGCTCTCAACTGAGTTTTATCTCTGTCTTCAAATCCCAGCCTCAGTTACAGCTCTGAAGTCTCCAAGTCTGGGAGGGAGGGTGGGCCCAGCACCATGTTCCTCCTCTTTAAAACTGCTGTGTGATCTTCTGCCCCTTGCGCCCATGTTATCGTTACCAGTTTTCACTCACACACACACACACACACTCACTTTCTCTCCTGTCCCTCACACACACACATTCCCTCCCCCCCACCCCAGACACACCCTTCTTGGGATTTCAGCTGGAACTACCTTGACTCCATAGATGACTTTGGGGAGAATTGATCGCCTTCTCAATAGTATTTCTCTCCACTTATTTAGGCTTTCTCAAATGTCTTTCAATAAGGCAGCACAAGGCTTTTAATACAGATCCGACAAACTCATCCATAGGTGCCTTGTATTACTTATCACCACTAAAACCGATTACACTGTGCGTTTTGCATCAGAGAATTTCTGTATTTTCATATTAGCTAGAAACTTTCAGTCACTATCTCTTCAAATATTGTCTCTCCCACATTCTATTACACTTTTCTCAAATTCTGACCAAATAATGATATGTTCACACCTTCTCATTCCTATTCTCTAACATTCTATGTCTCTCATATCTTCTATCTCCTAATCTCTTTCTAATGACTTCCAGTACTTTCTTCAGATGTATTTTCCAGTTTACTAATTCTTCCCTTCAGCTTCTGTGAGTGATAAGGATCAGACTTACCCTCCTGCCCAAAATAACTTAAAAATTAATACACAAAATAAGAATTTTAAGACACTACGCACTGGAAAAGTATGAACAGGGACCAGCACCACTGCCTGCAACGCTGTTTTGAGCACTGGTTGCTCTGCTTCCCAGCCAGCTTCCTGCTGCTAACATGCCTTGGGAGACAGCCAAAGATGGGCACTTGGGGCCCTGCCACCCATGTGGGGAGCTGGGTGGAGCTTCAGGAGCGTGGCACAGGCCTGGCTGTTGCGGCTATTGGGGAGTGAACACTGACTGGGAGAGCTCCTTCTCCATCTTTCCGCCTTGCAACGACAGGAAAGAAAGGTGGTGAGCGTCCTGCCTGCAGCACCTCCAGGCGGAGACACAGGGACAGGAACTCTAAGTTCCTAAGACAGGACTGAGTCGGGGAGGGCAGGAGTTGGCAGGTGGACAGTGGATTAGAACTGCACAGAGGCCGGTGCCACGGCTCACTAGGCTAATCCTCCACCTTGCAGCGCCGGCACACCAGGTTCTAGTCCCGGTCTGGGTGCCGGATTCTGTCCTGGTTCTCCTCTTCCAGGTCAGCTCTCTGCTGTGGCCCGGGAGTGCAGTGGAGGATGACCCAAGTGCTTGGGCCCTGCACCCCATGGGAGACCAGGAGAGGCACCTGGCTGCTGTCTTCGGATCAGCGCGGTGCGCTGGCCACAGCATGCCAGCTGCAGTGGTCACTGAAGGGTGAACCAACGGAAAAGGAAGACCTTTCTCTCTGTCTCTCTCTCTCACTGTCCACTCTGCCTGTCAAAAAAAAAAAAAAAAAAAAAAAAAAAAAAAAAAAAACCTGCACAGAGTCAGAACTCCAGACGGCTGAGATGTGGCCCCCAGGAGTCTTCAGCCAAGGCTAGGGGAAGAACCATCAAAGAATAAGAGGGAACAATATTCAGGTCTCTTGAAGGGCCAGGAATGCTTCCTGTTCCCACTAGCCATTTCAAAAATCTAGTAATTTACAGGGCAACAGGCTGCATACTCAAAAGGGTTTTTAAACAGTGTTGAAAGAGATCAGCCTAAGACTAAATACTACAATGAAGCTTAAAAACAGGACAAAAAGGGATCAGGGAGGAGTATTAGAGGAATACAACTATCCAGCAACCAAGAGGTAAAATTCACAATGTCTGGGGGCTGGCGCTGTGGCATAGCAAGTGAGGCCACTGCCTGCAGTGCCGGCATCCTATATGGGTGCCGGTTCAAGTCCTGGCTGCTCCACTTCCTATCCAGCTCTCTGCTATGGCCTGGGAAAGCAGCAGAAGATGGCCCAGGTCCTTGGGCCCCTGCACCCACTTGAGAGACCTGGAGGAAGCTCCAGGCTCTTGGCTTTGGATTGGCTCATCTCCAGCCGTTGTGGCCATTTGGGGAGTGAACCAGCGGACAGAAGACCTCTCTCTGTCTCTGCCTCTGCCTCTGTAACTCTACCATTTAAATAAATAAATAAATCTTTAAAAAAATTTCACAATGTCTAGCATCTGATATAAAATTAGTAGTAAGGAATAAAAGCAATAAGATATAAACCCAGGATGAGGAGAAAAATGAAGCAACTCAAATGACAGAATTGAAAGGCAAATAAATTCCAAGAATGAAGACAACTATAAAAACTAGCCAAAATGAAAGCGGTAAGCGGCTGTCAGGAAACATACCAAACTGTCACACGCTCTGTCCCTAGACAGCACCTCTGGTCCTCAGCATCTGGGGCTTCCACCTTCATGAGTTCTACCGACCTTGGATCATGTGGCATGCAGTCAGGCCTACGATGGCTGCATGTGTGCTGAACATAAATAGCTGTGTGTGTGTGTGTGTGCGCACATGTGTGTATGTGTTTTAAATCTGAGAGGGGGAGAGAGTGAGTTGGAGGTGGGGGGTGGGGGTAGGGGGTGGGGCATACTCTCACTTGCAGGTTTTATGCCCCAAATGCTCACAATGGCCAGGACTAGGCCAGGACCAAAGTTAGAAGCTGGGAGCTCATTCCAGGTCTCTCATGTGGGTAGCAAGGACCCAACTGATGCAACAAGAACATAAGCCTCAGCCATTTCAAGTTCTTGTTATGTCTGCCTTCTTTCAAGAGACCAGTTCAGGGGCCGGCACTGTGGCATAGCAGGTAAAGCCATCACCTACAGTGCCGGAATCCAATATGGGCACTGGTTCAAGTCTCAGATGCTCCACTTCCAATCCAGCTCTCTGCTGTGGCCTGGGAAAGCAGTAGAAGATGGCCCAAGTCCTTAGGCCACTGCACACGCGTGGGAGACCCGGAGGAAGCTCCTGGCTTCGGATCAGTGCGGCTCCAGCCACTGTGGCCAACTGGAGAGTGAACCAGTAGATAGAAGACCTCTCTCCCTCTCTCTCTTTCTGCCTCTCCTTCTCTATGTAACTTTTTCAAATACATAAATAAATCTTTAAAAAAAAAAAAAAAGACCAGTTCAGTCTCACACCCCACTGTCCCCACCCAACCCTCTGCATTCTTCCCCAGATTTGGAAGCCTGCAGGCCAAACTTGAAGAACCTGTATGAAGGAATTCACTGCCCCATTCACAAAGATATTAAAAAGCCCAGCCCCTGGGGGCTGAGCTGTCTGCCACATGTTCAGTCTGTGCGCACGCTGGCAGCTGGTCACCCACCTCTGCAGCTTTATTTTCTTTGAATAGATTTGGTCTGGCTGTGAGTTCATATTCTGTCCCCTCTCTGTTCTGTGCCCCTTTTCCTTACACCAACTACCTGGGCCATCACCGCTGCCTGCCGGAGTCCGCATGAGTAAGAGTCTGGACATGAGACACAGCTGAATGATGGAACCCAGCTACTACTCACATAAGGGACGCAGGTATCTTAGCAGCTAGGCCAAATGTCTACTCACAGATTTTTTTTTTCTTGTCATTATTCACTAAGCAATACAGCATGACAACTACTTATACAGCACTTATATTGTATTGGTAGTATTAGTAACCTAGAGATTATTTAAATATATAGGAGATGGGGTAGGGAATTGGCACAGCAGTTAAGTCACTGCTTGGGGTGTCTGCATCCTGTACTGGAGTGCCTGGTTCGAGCCCCAGTTCCTCCACTTCCAATCTAGCTTCTTGCTAATGCAGGGAGGTAAGTATTTGGGTTCTTGTCTCCTACATGGGCCATCTGGGTGAGTTTCAGGCTCTTGGTTTTAAGTTGGCCCAGCCCTGACTATTGCAGGCATTCAGGGAGTGAAGCAGCGGGTGGAAGATCTGTCTCTCTCTCTGCCTTTCAAATAAAAAACAAAATAAATAAAATTTTCAGTCCATTTCATATAAGAAACTTAAGCATCCATGGATTTTGGCATACATGGGGATCCTGGAATCAATTCCCTATGTAGCCTGATGGGCAACTGTAATAAAGAAAGTTTCAATCTGCATTATATTTTTTTTACAAGAGCAAAGAAATAATCATAGCTAATACCTACTGAGTGCCAGGCAATACGCCAAGCACTCTTCTAAGTTCTTCACATGTATTAACTCATTTAATTGTCACAGAAACCCTGAGGTAAATATGAACTCTACTCCTATCTTACAAACAAGGAAACCAAGGGACAGAAAGGAAAAGTGACTTGCCCACAGCAAGCAGGAGGCAGACATGAAATGCACCCCAGTTCTCAGCATTCAGTGCACACAGTCCTCACCACTGTTACACAGCATTTCCAGCGTAACATCTTACAATATTAGAAACACACAGTTGGGACCAGTATTTGGTACAGCAGGTCAAGCCACTGCCTGCCACACCAGCATCCCATATGAGCACCAGTTCAAGTCCCAGCTGCTCCACTTCCATCCAGCTCCCTGCTAATGCACCTGGGAGGGCAGGAGAAAATCCCCAAGTGCGTGTGCCCCTGCACCCACATGGGAGACCTGGATGAAGCTCCTGGCTCTGGCTTCAGCCTGGCCCAGCCCTGGTTGTTGCAGGCATTTGGGGAATGAACCAGTGCACAGAGGATCTCGGGTGTCTCTCTCTCTTTCTTTCTCTCTGCCTTTCAAATAAATAAATAAATCAAACAAATTTTTAAACTATAACTAGCATAATCATTCATATAACAAAATATACCCCAAGTACAGTATGATAAATTACCTGATGATTAACACGTGTCAAATGATCAATAGTTTTCTCTAATTCTGATTTTCCAAAAAGATTCATTTCCTGGATATTCTGAAAGAAAATTTCACAGAAAATATTCATTTACATCAAAGAATAAAACAGTACCAAACTAAGCAATGCAAGCCTATAGCACTATCAAATTCTATTTGTCTTTTCATAAATCATAGACAAGTTTTAGAAAGAATATCGTGGCCGGCGCCGCGGCTCACTAGGCTAATCCTCCGCCTTGCGGCGCCAGCACACCGGGTTCTAGTCCCGGTTGGGGCGCCAGATTCTGTCCCGGTTGCCCCTCTTCCAGGCCAGCTCTCTGCTGTGGCCAGGGAGTGCAGTGGAGGATGGCCCAAGTGCTTGGGCCCTGCACCCCATGGGAGACCAGGAGGAAGCACCTGGCTCCTGGCTTTGGATCAGCGCAGTGCACCGTCTGTGGCGGCCATTGGAGGGTGAACCAACGGCAAAAGGAAGACCTTTCTCTCTCTCTCTCTCACTGTTCACTCTGCCTGTCAAAAAAAACAAAACAAAAAAAAAACAACAAAAAAAAACGAAAGAATATCGTTATAAATTTTATAAAAACAATGCTTTTGATTAAAAAAGCAAGCATAATAGGGTCTTAGCTTTTATACTTTCTACCTTCGTGTGCGACGGTAGTGAAGACACACACTGGTATGGATTCATCTGTATGGATTTACAGAGACTGATTATCAGAACAGTATACAGGAAGAAGACCAGCAGGTTAGGCAACCAGCTACAAAGTATGACCTCACAAGAGGAGACAGAGGAACGATGAGATCGCAAAGACACAGGACACAGCCTGACAGGGCCACGCAAGAGCTCAGACGCTCGAGAATGGCTGTATAGGCCAGCACCTCAACACAGGGCTGCTCCTGGTTATCTTACCCAGCTCCTGCCGCTGCCAAGTCTGGGGTAAGTGGTATAACCTGCTGGTCACTAAGAGTTTTTCTAATGTGGATTCTTACTTCATCCATGCTACTAAAATCAAATGAATAAAAACATGTGATGCTTGGATTATCTGTTTGGTTGAAGGGTCACTGTGCTGTATTTACTTACTAAATCATTCAACTGGGACTGGCACTGCAGCACAGCCAGGAGAGCTGTCACTTGTGACACCCACACCCCATCCCGTAGCAGAGTGCCAGCTAGGAACTACAGATACTCCACTGTTGATCCGGTTTCCTGATAATGTTCCTGGAAAGGCAGTGGATTGTGACCCAGGTACTTGGGCCCCTGCCATCCATGTGGGAGATGCAGACGGAGTTTCTGGCTCCTGGCTCAGTCTGACCCCGACCTGGCTGTTGTGGGCATCTGAGGAGTGAAACAGTGGATGGAAGATTCCCTTTGTCTCTATCACTCTTTCAAATAAACCTTTTTAAGAAAATCATTCAACTGAGTACATACTCTGTACCAAGCACCAAGCAGAGACTAAGGTCTCTGCCTTCAGAAATATGACAGCCTAACAGAAAAGATACTTTAAAGAAGAGGTTAAATTAAAACCCAGAAATATTCCACTAGGAAAAGGAATTGCACAGCAATCTGTCAAAACGAAACCTAGAATCTAGTTTCCTGACTGAGGAAGCCAGGTATAATCTGAACGTCCAGCCTGCAGGCTGTGTAAGGCCTACAAGATCGTTTGGTCTGGACTTGCCACAGCAATCACAGGCAGGGCTCAAAATCCAAAAAATCTACAGCTAATTTTTAAGTTGATAAGTTTGTACAGCCTGTGAATGATGTTATAAATTGTCCAAATGACCCTTAGTAGAAAAAAGGTTCTCCATCCTGACTTCAAGAGTGAATAGGAATTTTCTGGACTCGGGGTTTGGAAGGAATATTTTGAAGTCTATGTTAGAAGGTTAGAGGCAAGAAAATCCTATTACATCTGGAGCCTTGAGAAAAAGGTGGATGAGGACCTGGGGTGGGGGTGGGGGTGTTTAGCTCTTAAAGTAGGCAAAGGCCAATCACTGAAGTCCTTGAAAACAGTTAATGGATTTCAAATAGGAAGTGAATTGACAAGATTTGTATCTCTGAAGAGGACTCTAAAGGCAGTGTTGAATATACATTTGGGATGAGCAACATCAAGCGCAGAGGCAGGTGAGAGGATAATGACCAGACAGGATGGTAGCGGGGAACAGAAACACAGAGACTCTAGGGAAAGTTACATGAGCTCAGGAGCCAGATCCTCACAACTCATCTCAGATAACCCTAACAACACTAGTACCTTTCCCTTCTTTAAAAAAAATTTATTTGAAGGGCAGAGACAGAAACAGAGAGATAAAGAGAGGGAGAGAGACTTCTCATACCTGCTGATTCACTCCCCAAATGCCTGCAATAGCTGGGGTTGGGGCTGGGCCAGGCCAAGGTTGAGAATCCGAAACTCAATCTGGATCTCCCATATGGATGGCAGGGATTCAAGAACCTCAGCCTGACCTGCTGCCTCCCAGGGTATACATTAGCAGGAAGCTGGAATCAGAAGTGGAGCCAGGACTAACTCAGGCAGGCATCCAGAGTACTGTGCAAAATGGCCATCCCAAGCAAGTTACTTAACTTTGCCATAATTCAAGAGAGCTGTCCATGAGGGAGAGCCTGTCAGAAGAGGCTATAGTGAAGACCGACAACAATCCATGCAAAAAGCAGGTGGAAGAGAGCCCTCCACATGGGAATGGCTTGATACATGTTAAATTTTATTCAAGAGGTAGTAGTATTGCTAGGACTTGGTGACTGAGAGATACCAGCTTTCAGGGAGAGCTTAATTAGTAATGATGCCTAGTTTTGGTAAGTTGTGGATAGCAGAATAATGAGCAGCTGAAGTACAGATGATTAGCTCAGTTTTGTAAGTAAAAGAACTGCTGAAAACTTGTAAACTCCTTCCTCCTACAACTCTGAAGAATTTAGCTAGGAATGTCACTTTTTCCAAGTTTTGAGTACTACCGCATTTTTTAATCCTATTTTTACATTCTTTGAGCATTTCAACAGATATGGGAAAGGGAAAATCAGTAACTTGTGTTAAAAGATGCCATATTGCACAGAAGTTTTCGGTTTGATAATTTTAACACTTATTTTTATGAAAAAACACTTTCTGGAAGAAAATATTGTTAAAGATTCCAATTAAGAACTATATATACAGGGCCGGCGCCGCGGCTCACTAGGCTAATCCTCCGCCTTGCGGTGCCAGCACACTGGGTTCTAGTCCTGGTCGGGGCGCCAGATTCTGTCCCGGTTGCCCCTCTTCCAGGCCAGCTCTCTGCTGTGGCCAGGGAGTACAGTGGAGGATGGCCCAAGTGCTTAGGCCCTGCACCCCATGGGAGACCAGGATAAGTACCTGGCTCCTGCCATCGGATCAGCGCGGTGAGCAGGTCGCAGCGCGCCGGCCGTGGCGGCCACTGGAGGGTGAACCGAAGGCAAAAGGAAGACCTTTCTGTCTGTCTCTCTCTCTCTCCCTGTCCACTCTGCCTGTCAAAAAAAAAAAGAAAAAAAAAAAAACTATATATACATATATATATATGAAGCAGAGAGGAAGCAAAGAGACAAACAGAAGCAGAGAGACAGACAGCTCCCATTCACTAGTTCACTCCCAGATGCTTGCACAAGCCAGGGCTGAGCCTAGGATTGGGGCCAGCAACCAGAAACTCAACCCAGGTCTCCCACAGGAGTGGCAGGGATCCGAGTACTTGACACCACCTGCTGCCTGCACGGGCCTGATTGGCAAGCAGCTAGAACCGGGAGCCAGAGCTGGGAATCTCACTCAGGCCCTCGGAAACAGGACATGTGCATGTTAATCGGCATCTCACCCACTGGGCCACATGTCCATCTCAAGAGCATTCTTTTTGTTTATTTCTATTCATTTTATTTGAGGCAGAGAAAGAAAAGGAGAGAGACAGGAAGAGAGCTATAGACAGAGATCTATTGATTTCACTCTCCAAATGCCTGCTGAAGCCAGGTGCCAGGAACTCAATCCAAGTTCCACGTGGGTGGCAGAGACCCAAGTACTTGACCATCACCTGCTGCCTCCTGGGGTATACCCTAGTTGGAAGCTGGGATTGGGAGTGGAGTTGGAACTTGACTCCAGTCTGTCTGATATGGGATGTAGGATTCCAAATGGCATCCTAACTGTTGGGCCAAACTGCTGCCTCCCTCCTCCAATAACATTCTCAAACTATATTTGGGGGGTAAACTTTTTAAAAAGATTTCTGATGTATTTATTTGAAAGTCAGAGGTGGAGAGAGAGAGGTCTTCCATACACTGGTTCACTCCTCAGATGACTGCGCGGCCAGGGTTGGGCCAGACCAAAGACAGGAACCAGGAGCTTCATCCTGGTCTCCCATATGGGTACAGGGGCCCAAGCACTTGGGCCATCTTCTGTTACTTTCCCAGGCACATAGGCAGGAAGCTGGATTAGAAGTGGAATAGCCGAGATTCAAACCAGTGCCTATATGGGATGCCAGTGCCACAGGTGGAGGCTTAACCTTCTATACCACAGTACCAGCCCGTGGCAGGGTAGGAGGATGGTGGTAAATTTTTAAGTGGAAATTGGTGACATCCTCTATGACAGACTTGTGAGGTGGCACCGAGGCATAGTAGCACTGGCATCTCATACAGGTATTGGTTCAAGTCCCAGCCGCTCCACTTCTGATCCAGCTCCCTGCTAATGACCTGGGACAGCTGTGAAAGATGGCACAAGTACCTGGGCCCCTGCACCCACGTGAGAAACCCCAAAGCAGCTCCTGGCTCCTGGCTTTGGACCGGTGCTACTCCAGCCACTGCAGCCATTTCGGGAATGAACCAGAGGATGGAAGACCTCTTTCTCTGTAATTATGCCTCTCAAATAAATAAATCTTAAAAAAAAAAAAAAGACTCAGCAGGAGTCCTGTAGTGTCACAAGTCTAGGCACACAAGAATACTCGAGGGAGATGAAAACAGCCACATAGAAAGTGGTATGCACATGTTCCCAGCAGCATTACTCATGGTCCAACCTTGAAAACGTCATGCTAACGAGAGCAACCAGACATAAAAGTCATATAATGAATGATCCAATTTATAGGAAATGTCCAGGCAAATCTATGGAAACCTGAAAAGTGAATGAAATAAGGCTGCCTACAGCGAGGGCCTGGGAAGAAGCAGGAAGTGATGAAAGTGCTCCAGGGCTGACATGGCTGTGACATCACGCACTGCCGAGCTGCGCACTTCCAGTGGGGGAGCGCTAGGAAGGCACAGGACTCATACCGTTGTTGTTTTTAGAAAGAGAAAAGGGTCGGCAGCTTCTCCGTGAAGAACCGGATGGTAAGTAGTCTAGATGCTATGGGCCTCCCTCTGATGTGGCCACTCAGCTTGGCCACTGTGGCACAAAATAAGCTATTGACAATCGGTACACAAATAGGCACAGTATTCCAACAACACTTTATCGACAATGAAGAATGATTCTTCTCCTGGTATTTTTTCAAAAATGTAAAAACCATTCTTAGCTCTTTGTCACACACCGAGCCCAAGGCTGGCCCAGGTCTACTGCTGGCAATCCCCATTCCAGCTGTACCCCCGCAACACTAACTCATGGAGAACAGACTCACAGACCCTGCTTCCCAAGAAATTACCTCTCAAAACGGCCAACCTTTTTACTTACATTTAATTTTTCTCTCAAAGTCTCCTTTTCTGCCATAACTCTTCTTAGGTCAGATAACGCAAGTTCTTTTTCCTTTTCCATTAGACTAACAATATTGTTGGAGACTGTGGTTTGGGTGGAGTCTCGTCTAAGCGCAGACAATTCTTCCTGAGCCTTGAAGAATAAAAGACAGAAGTAACAGGCACTTTGGATACCCTTCTAGATTTTTTTAAAATATCATTTATTTATTTATATATTTGAAAGGCAGAGTTACAGAGAGGCAGAGGCAGAGAGAGGTCTTCTATCCGCTGGTTCACTCCCCAGTTGGCTGCGACGGCCAGAGCTGAGCCAATCTAAAGCCAGGAGCTTCTCCTGGTTTCCCACACGGGTGCAGGGCCAAAGCACTTGGACCATCTTCTGTTTTCCCAGGCCATAGCACAGAGCTGGATGGGAAGTGGAGCAGCTGGGCCGGCATATGGGATGCTGGCACTGCAGGTGGCAGCTTTACCCACTATGCCACAGCACTGGCCCTAGTTTAAAAAAAAAAACAAAAAACTGGACACAGGCCACCTTTGTTCCCAAATCCCAACAAAATAAAAGGATTAAAAAAAAGAAAAAAAAAAAAAAAAAAACCAAGATAAGAATATTGAATGAGGTGACAGCCATAAAATGTTGGGAGCTAGGCAGCCGGCAGAAAAGGAGGAGCCAACCAAGCTGACCAGGGAAGCTGATTAATCCCACGGTGGGTACCACCGAATCCCGAAAGTTCAAGAACTGAAAGTGGCCCTTTTGCACAGCCTGTCCCCTCTCCAGGTGGCAGCAGGATGTTGTGGGGCATGGAGACAGGAACACCAGAAGCGGAAGACAGCATGCTCTGCTCTGCTCAGACTGTCTTTGCCCCCGGTAACTGCAGCTATTTAACAAGGCCAGGCTGTACCCATTCCCTCTGTCCTCGGTTGTGTGTTTGTTGGTTTGTAACCAAAGACTAAGTCTCCAATAACCAACACAGCCACACACAATAGGGGGTGCTGTCCAGGTGGAGACAGCTGGGATGTCTGAGTCTCCAGGAGCAGTGTGCTCGGCATCAGGCTGAGACCCGATCCAGGTAATTCTAGAAGAAAAGAGACCATCCCATACTGATCAGACACAAAGATGGGCTAGAAAAGAGAAGTATGGAAAAAGCAATCTCTGCTTTGAGAACAGGATGAGGGCAGAAACTACTAGTACTTAGGATTCTAACTGTGAAGGACTATCACAAGGGCCATATTTTATGGTCCCATCAAAGTTAGCAGGTTCCATACCATGTTAGCTTAATTATAACAAACTGCTTACTTCATTATATAAGACACTGAGTTTATCTCTTTCCGCCGTCAATAATTTAACATTGGACTGTATATCCTCCATATATTTTTCAAATCTTTCCAGCATACGCTGAAGTTCATCTCTTTCTCTTGTGACCAGATGAATTTCTGAATTGTAATCACCCTGAAATATAATTAAAGAACAGAAGTTATCATGTGCTGTAATTATCACCACATGGTTGACATAAGGATGCTGACGGTGAGACTGAGATGCTAACAGACAAAAAGAACACGAGTTTCACTAATGTCATTCAGGAAATCTTTTTTTTTTTTTCTTAATCTACAATGAAAGTAGATGAGAGCACTGCCAGTACTGGGGCAAATTTCCCGGCCTGCCAGCTTCCAGGAAGGGGCGTGGCTGCTGCAGATGCTGCTTGACCAGATGCCATCAGACATGCTTCAACTGCCAATTCTGAGGCTGCTCATACTAGGGACATAAAGTGTACCCTTAGTGCAGAGGCATCAGCAGCATCCAAGATCGTGTTACACGTGCAAATCCTGGGGTCCACGCTAGCCTCACTCAACTAGAAACTGTGGGCAGGGCCCACTTCTATCAAGCCCTTCAGGACTCTGATGTACGCTAATGTTTGAGACCCACTAGTTTATAACCCTCTCCAGAGAAAAGACCAGGAAGGACAGGGGTGTGTGTGTTTGTGTGTGCCTGCTCCCTCAGTGTAAACAGATGTAACAGCCTAGCACATTGCTCAGCGTTTTCTTTCAACTTATTAACACCAGTTTTCCTGGCACACCAACCCCCAACTGTCCCAGTTTTAGACCTACGTGAGGTCTACCTCCAAAGTCAAAAAAATGTAAATTATTTCTACTAGGCAATGTCCATGAAGGATGTTCACTGACCAAGTAACCACATCCAACATGTCTAAAATAAGACCATGCCTACTAGTCTGGTGCAATTTCAAAGATCCACTCTCTTCAACACCATTGAGGGGAAAAAACAATGACAGATGGAGACTTCATTTGGTATCTCTGAGGACTAAATGCAGAAGCCCTGAGAGAAGTGGGGACAATCTGCTACTTTGGTGCCCTGGAAACAGCCCTGGTCTGCATCATACATTTGTTGCTGAACTGGTAGGTGACATGTATCTATGAGGTACTCCTCACCTACCACATCAAATTGTTATCCTTACAGTTAATTATTCAAGCAACATCAAAGCATAAAGGATGAGCTTAGCTCTCTAAACACTTTAAAGGACAAGACATTTAACAGGAAAAAAGCAATTAGTATTCTGAGGCTTAATCAAGGCTTAAATAACCACAGAAGACTATCTGTAATTAATCACGCCTAAATCGGAAAAGCCTTTCAGAAAGGACGTAGTCTCTGCAGATCCTAGAAAAAGAGAACTCAGTGAACAGGATTTGATAGTCTCTTCTCATTACCATTTAGGTCTCAGCTTAAATGTCACTTTCTCCATGGAATCCTTCCAGATTCTCTATCAAATCTAATTTGCTCCCACAAACTCATAGCATGCTGAATCTTTCCTGTACTTTAACGTTTATAATAAATGGGCTTACAAAGTTATTTACATGATCCCATGTTTAATGCATGTCTGAATCACTGAAATTTAAGCTCCACGAGGCCACAGTAAGTAGTCTGTCTTGTTCAATGTATCTTTGAGGGCTCCCATGATATCTGGTAAAATGCACCCATTTCCTGAACGTTTCTCTACTGACTGATCCGCTCAGGCAGAGAGTAATGACTCTACTCTGAATAGACCTCGTAAGGTTTCTGTACCAGTGTTGATGAGTACTCGTTGTTAACTACTCTTCCCCACTCCACTGTTCCCTACACACACGCAGGCACATGAACACACACGCACAGTGCTGAGGCTGCAAGAACAGATGCGTCTATCTCCAGCCCTGCAGGCCCTCTACACAGCCCTGCCAAATAGAATCGGACTTTCTGCTGGGAACTCACCCACTCTGAATCGACAAAATCAGGAAATGAATCATGTACTAGGAGCTAGATATTACACTGGAACCCTCCACAAACTACCACATTTCATCTTTTTTTAATTTTTTTTTTTATTTAAAGGCTGGATGCCACCCCAGTGTCTTCCTTCAGAAGTCCTGCACTGCAAGTGGAAATCGGTAGCCTTTTTTTTTTTTTTTTTTTTTTTTTTTTGACAGGCAGAGTTAGACAGTGAGAGAGAGAAACAGAGAGAAAAGTCTTCCTTCCTTCCAATGGTTCACCCCCCAAATGGCCACTACGGCCAGCGCTGTGCCGATCTGAAGCCAGGAACCAAGTGCTTCCTCCTGGTCTCCCATGGGGTGCAGGGCCCAAGCACTTGGGCCATCCTCCACTGCACTCCCTGGCCACAGCAGAGAGCTGGCCTGGAAGAGGGGCAACCGGGACAGAATCCGGCGCCCCGACCGGGACTAGAACCGGGGTGCAGGCGCCGCAGGTGGAGGATTAGCCTAGTGAGCCGCGGCGCCAGCCCACATTTAATCTTCGCAAGAGGTTGTAGTTACTTCCTCCACTTTACAAATGAGGAAACGAGGGCTTCATGAAATTACAGAATTTCACTAAGGTCACAAAGCCAGACAGTGGAGCTGGAATTTGTCCACAGTGGGAATCAGTGGTGAGTACAAAGCGAAAGGGGACAGTCCTCTCTCTACACAGACCTGAAAATCAGTGAACGTACTACTGATGAAAATTGTTGGGGTCGGCGCTGTGGCACAGCAGGTTAATGCCCTGGCCTGAAACGCATACATCCCATATAGGCGCCAGTTTGAGTCCTGGCTGCTCCACTTCCGATCCAGCTCTCTGCTATGGCCTGGGAAAGCAGAAGATGGCCCAAGTGCTTGGGCCCCTGCACCCATGTGGGAGACTTGGAAGAAGCTCTTGGCTCCTGGCTTTGGACCGGCACAGCTCCAGTCGTTGTGGCCAATTGGAGAGTGAACCATTGGATAGAAGACCTCTCTCTCTCTCTCCCTCTGCCTCTCCTCTCTCTGTGTAAATCTGACTTTCAAATAAATAAATAAATAAATCTTTTTAAAAAAACTGTTGATGTTTAGAATGGCAAGGTGTATTTCTTTTAGAGTCATTACAATTTCAAGGAACTATGCCTAAGAGTTTGTTAAAAAGAATACCCAACTGGTTTTTATACCAAACCAGTTTTTGAGAGGTTTGCCAAAAAAGTGTTTCCAAACATGTTGAAAGTGTCTCCTCCTAAGTGAGAAGGCGCCCAGCACACACAGCCATCTTTTTTTTTTTTTCTCTCCTTTTTTTTTTTTTTAACTTTTATTTAATGAATATAAGTTTCCAAAGTACGAATAATGGATTACTATGGCTTCCCCCACATACCGTCCCTCCCACCCACAACCCTCCCCTTTCCCACTCCCTCTCCCCTTCCATTCACATCAAGATTCATTTTCAATTATCTTAATATACAGAAGATCAGCTTAGTATACATTAAGTAAGGATTTCAACAGTTTGCTCCCACACAGAAACATAAAGTGAAAAATAATGGATGATTTTTTTTTTAATGATGATGAAATCAGATCAGACCTATTGTCATGTTTAATCCCAGTGAGAGTCAAGTTGGGAGTTGATAGTTTCTTTTCTTTTTTTTTTTTTTTCAGAGGATCAGTTTAGTATGCATTAAGTAAAGATTTCAACAGATTGCACACCCATAGAAACACAAAGTGAAATATATTGTTTGAGTACTCGTTATAGCATTAAATCTCAATGCACAGCACATTAAGGACAGAGATCCTACATGAGGAGTAAGTGCACAGTGACTCCTGTTGTTGACTTTACCAATTGACACTCCTGTCTATGGCATCAGCAATCCCCCTATGCTCCAGTCATGAGTTTCCAAGGCTATGGAAGCCCCCCGAGTTCTCCGACTCTTATCTTGTTTAGACAAGGTCATAGTCAAAGTGGAGGTTCTCTCCTCCCTTCAGAGAAAGGTACCTCCTTCTTTGAAGACCTGTTCTTTCCACTGAGATCTCACTCACAGAGATCTTTTGCCAGAGTGTCTTGGCTTTCCATGCCTGAAATACTCTCATGGGCTTTTCAGCCAGATCCGAATGCCTTTAGGGCTGATTCTGAGGCCAGAGTGCCATTCAGGACATCTGCCATTCTAGGAGTCTGCTGAGTATCTCACTTCCCATGTTGGACCACTCTCCCCTTTATTTATTCTATCGGTTAGTGTTAGCAGGTACTAGACTTGCTTATGTGCTCCCTTTGACTCTTAGTCCTTTCATTATGATCAATTGTGAACTGAAATTGATCACTTGGACTAGTGAGATGGCATTGGTACATGCCACCTTGATGGGATTAAATTGGAGTCCCCTGGTATGTTTCTAACTCTACCATTTGGGGCAAGTCAGCTTGAGCATGTCCCAAATTATATATCTCTTCCCTCTCTTATTCCTACTCTTATGTTTAACAGGGATCACATTTCAGTTAAATTTCAACACTTAAGAATAACACACAGCCATCTTATACCACCCATTCACCGGTCACTCCGGTCACTCACGGTCTCCACCACCCTCACCCCGCCCTGACTGCCAGCTATCACTGGGACTCTAAAATGCTCTGAACAGCCTGACTTTCTGAACCCTGGAAAACAGATTCATCGTTGTGCCAGGTAACATGATAACAGTTCAGGGAAGTAAGTAAAAAGGAGGAACATCTCTGAATTTCACTAGTACCTAACCAATATCTCCCATTCATCTTCCCTTAATGAATCCATACCAAGCAACTGAATCAAAGATTTCAGTTAACTTTTGAGGGTTATCTTCTCAGTGCTATTACATTCATGAACCATCTTGTGAAAGATTCTTCCACACGATGAAAGCGATTAATTCTGTGGTTTATTTTTCCTGAGTTCTGAGTATATGTGGAACTCAAACAGCTCAGTAACAGAAATTACCTTGCACTGTGTGTCCCCACCAATTCACTTAGCTTGTAGTAGGTAACACAGCACAGCATTATAGCTGACAACTAGAAATCCAAATCTGGCCATCAGCCAACTGGTTAAAAAACAAAATCCAATCTAAAGACTCAAATCTGTTTGGACAATGGACATAGGATCTTCGTGGGTGGGGGGAGGGGAACAATCAAACCGCTAAATTCCCTCGAGCGTGAAATCACACGTTCTGAGTGTGAGTGACTCCTCCCTCCAATCCCCCCCATTTTAACTAGTGTGTAGATAATGATAGGGTCAGATGAGCCTTCAGGGTGCCTACAGCTCCACAGCTTAAAAAACAGAAAAAAAACTGAAGCATTCAAATGATATTCATAAAACACCGCAAATAATTAAGATCTAAAACAGAGACACATGATTTTTATCTTACAAATCATGGTCGACTTGAAATAACACCCGCAACAGAAGACCCAATCACAACATTACACATAACAGGAACACCTTTACATGAGCACCTTGCAAATGCGGTCACAGTGGACAATCCGCCCAGCCCCCACTTCCAATTTCTACCCATCTCCCGTGCAGGGTTAACAGAAGAAGCGTGGCCAGGACAGAATGCGCCTTCCTGACTGATCCAATGCTGGCAGTGACCTGAAGCCATGTGCCTGCCAGGTGGACAAAGTCCTTCCGCCACAGGACAGGAAATGCAGCTTCTACAGAAAGCAGACGCTACAAAGACAAGGCATGTCCAGTGGCAGGCATCCCTGGTTCAGGTCCTGGAAGCCCAGACGACCCAGCACTTCCCCTATGACTGGGCAATTCCGTCTTCCTTCACTTCCAGGAATCAGCATGGTACACCTTGTTCCAAGGAAGTTTTCCTAACTCATACAGCACAAGCCAAGGAACAAGACAAAAACTAAAACCTTTTAAAAGCAAGAATGAATTACACTTAATACAATAATAAATCAGAAAGGCTTATTCATAAATACTCTCTTGCCTTATTAATTGCTTTTCCAAAGCAATACTTACTTTTTCTTGTGTTTTAAATATTGGGATTTTTTCACGAGCACAGTAATTTGTAGAACAAGATCTTCGCTGTATTAAATGCTGGAGTCTTTCTAGTTCTTTCTTATAATAATCTCGTTCTTCTTCTATACCTTTGAGAAATGTATCTAAACGAGAAGGTGATCTGTCTCTGCGTTTTATTCCATGTTCTAGCCTCATTCTCTCAACTTCCAAAGTAAGTTCTCTTTCTGTAAATTAAAGTGGGTAAATTTAAACAATGTTGCATGTATAATGTTAATCAAATGCATTTTAAAAATAAAGATTTCTAGAAATCATGAATTGTTCTGTGAATCACCTGTGCCAGACACAGTAAAGAGCTAAAAACTGAGATGCAAAGAGAAAAAAAAAAATCGAAAGCAAAAATTAAACATTTGAATGTTTGATAAGTCAATGTCTACCTAAAGTGCTAGAGAACAATGAGATAAATTTGCACACAGCACTTCCTAGGGACAGCAAAAAACACTAAAACAAAATATCTCCATAATTATAATACGCACAGCTTAAACATTAAGCTTGAATAGGGTATCCACACATACAGAGATCAAAACAACTCAAGTTTTTTTTTTAGAATAAATCTTTTTTTAAAAGATTTATTTATTTATTTGACAGGCAGAGGTACAGACAGTGAGACAAACAGAGAGAGAGGTCCCCCTTCCCAGTTGGTTCACTCCCCAAGTGGCTGCAACGGCTGGAGCTGTGCCAATCCAAAGCCAGGAGCCAGGTGCCTCCTCCCGGTCTCCCATGTGGGTGCAGGGTCCAAGCACTTGGGCCATCCTCCACTGCAATCCTGGGCCACAGCAGAGAGCTGGACTGGAAGAGGAGCAACTGGGATCAGAACCGGCGCCCATATGGGATGCCGGCGCCACAGGAAGAGGATTAGCCTAGTGCGCCACGGCGCCGGCCCCTCAAGTCTTTCTTCTACCACAGAAAGCACCTTTTCATGAGTGATCCCACTCCGAGGCACGGGATGATTTCCGTGATGTACCTGATTCACTCCCATCTCCTTTCATTCAGCAGATACGGACTAAGTTTTTTACTGTATGCCAAGCACTGGCTAAGGATTCCAGTGTGAAAAACAGCCACCATCAAGCAAAAATCCCAATGGAAGTAGGAGGAAAGCTACAAAAGGACAACACACAATGCAAACTGGAGGGGGAAAGACGAGCTGGTCCTAAGGAGTGAGCAGGCAGGGCTGGCACTGTGGCGCAGCAGGTTAACCTGCTGCCTGCAACGCCAGCATCCTGTATTGATGCCGGTTTGAGTCCTGGCCGCCACTTCCAATCCAGCTCGCTGCTAACATGCACGGGAAAGCCTGCCACCCTCCAGGAAGACAGAGGTGGCTCCTGATTTCAGCCTGGTCCAGTCCGGGGCGAGTCTCTCTCCCTAACTCTTCCTTTCAAATAAATAAAAAATAAATCTTAAAAAGTAAAAAAAGAAAGTAGGAGAGTGGGAACGAAGGGACAATTGTGTCGAAGGCTAAGAAATCAAGTAAGCTAATGAAAAAAAGTATCCACCACACTTAGCATATGGAGGTGAGAGAGGACCTTCCCAGGAGCTGTGGTCTTGGTGAGGTGGGGACTGAAGCCAACCGGCGGCAACTGAGGAGCCAAGAGGCAGCAAGAGGTAACAAGGACGGATTTTAAGATGCTACAACTCAGCCGGCGCCGCGGCTCACTAGGCTAATCCTCCGCCTTGTGGCGCCGGCACACCGGGTTCTAGTCCCGGTTGGGGCGCTGGTTCTGTCCCAGTTGCCCCTCTTCCAGGCCAGCTCTCTGCTGTGGCCAGGAAGTACAGTGGAGGATGGCCCAAGCACTTGGGCCCTGCACCCCATGGGAGACCAGGATAAGTACTTGGCTCCTGCCATCGGATCAGTGCGGTGCGCCGGCCGCGGCGGCAATTGGAGGGTGAACCAACAGCAAAGGAAGACCTTTCTCTCTGTCTCTCTCTCTCACTGTCCACTCTGCCTGTCAAAAAAAACTGCACTGCCTCAAAAGAATTCTACACTTCAGTTTTCTACTATTTGAAAACGGTCTTCTGAATATTTATTAATACTATTATCAGTCTGTCTCAAGGAAGAATTTTCTTCTATTGCAAAATATTCAAGCACAGGAAGTTCCCTATATCAACTAATCAAAATATAAATTCTTTTTTAAAAAGAATTTTTATGGGGCCAGCATTGTGTTATAGTGGGTAAAGCTGCCGCCTGCAACACTGGCATCCAATATGGGTGACTGTTCAAATCCTGGCTGTTCCACTTCCAATCCAGTTTCCTGCTAATATGCCTGGAAAAGCAGCAGAGGATGGTCTAGGAGCTTTGACCCCTACTCCCACGTGGGAGACCCAGATGAACCTCCTGGCTCCTGACCGTTGCGGCCATCTGGGGAGTGACCCAGTGGATGGAAAATCCCTCTCTTTTTGTAACTCTGCCTTTCAAACAAATAAAATAAATCTTTAATTTTTTAAAAAGATATTTATTTGTTTGAAAGTCAAAGCTACACACAGAGAGAAGGAGAGGCAGAGAGAGAGAGAGAGAGAGGTCTTCCATCCGCTGGTTCACTCTCCAATTGGCTGTAACAGCCAGAGCTGTGCCAATTCAAAGCCAGGAGCTTCTTCTGGGTCTCCCACATGTGTGCAGGGACCCAAGGACTTGGGCCATCTTTTATTGCTTTCCCAGACCATAGCAGAGAGCTGGATCAGAAGTGGAGCAGCCAGGACCTGAACCGGTGCCCATATGGGATGCCAGCACTGTAGGCAGTGACTTTACCTACTATGCCACAGCGCCAGCCCCAATTTTTTTTTTTTTTTTAATTTATTGCTTTCAGAGGCAGAGAGACAAAGAGAGCTCCCAGCCATCAGTTCACTCCCCAGTGTCTGCAATGGCCAATGCTGGGGACCAGGAACTCAACCTAAGTTTCTCACCTGGGTGGCAGGAACCCAGTTACCTAAGTCTTCCCTGTGGCCTCCCAGGGTCTGCACTGGAAGAAGCCAGGTATTAAATCCAGGTGTTCTGATGTCAGATACAGGCATTTCAACCACCAGGCTAAAAACACCTGCTCTCTAAAGAATTCTTAATGTCCTTGAGGAAGACAGAGTTCTTCTTATCTAAAATATCTAATACGGTTCCTATTTACAGAAAGCACTCAACACGGACAGATTGAGTTAAATGAAAAACCAACTAATAAAAAGAATTGATCAAGAGGAAATCACAGGGGCCAGCGCTGTGGTGTAGCGGGTAAAGCCGACGCCTGCAGTGCTGGCATCCCACATGAGTCCCAGCCGCTGCACTGCTGATCCAGCTCTCTGCTGTGGCCTGGGGAAGCAGAAGATGGCCCAGGTCCTTGGGCCCCTGCACCCACGTGGGAGACCCGGAAGAAGCTCTTGGTTTTGGATCAGCGCAGCTCTGGCCGTTGTGGTCAAATGGGGAGTGAACCAGCGGATAGAAGATCTCTCTCTGTCTCTCTCTCTCTCTCTGCATTGCATTTCCTTCTCTCTGTGTAACTCTGACTTTCAAATAAATAAATAAATCTTTAAAAAAATTTAAGAAAATCGTGATCACATTTGAAGTTGTCAACATTTTACCTGTAACTGCAAAACTCTCAACTTTTTTGCTGAGTCTCTGTTTCTCTTGTTCAAGTTGGTGGATGACAGTTTCCAGGTCTGACTTAAGAAGCAGTTCATCACTCAGTCTCTCCTTTTCTTTATGGCATAAGTTTAATTCCTGCAAATGTGAATGCCATAATTAAGATTTCTAACAACCTTATAAAAATATAGCACATAAAATATGTATTTTCATAAATAAGATTATATAATGTTACTTCACATACATTTATGTATGTGTATGTATACTTACTTTTAATTAGTCAGATATACGGTCTTAACCAAAATTAATTACCAATTGTGGCTAAAAGCGCCATAAAACCCAATACCAACAATGCTCCTTTGTGGATGGTAAGGCTCTACCTCTTCCCTGAATGCCTGAGGACTGCTCTGCCTGCCTGTTTTAGAGTGCAGCAGTCAGATGCCCTGTCCCAGCACTAACACACAGCAGAGCAGTCATCACTGCACTGGTTATCCTCTCAGCCTCTTCTGCACCACAGGGCACTGAGGAGCACTGGGAGGAAGACCTTCTGGAGGCAACACGCTTTGTACGGCGTCCAGGATGGGACATGCTTAGTAAACACGTGCTGGGCCTGGCAGTGTGGTGCAGTGGGTTAAGCCGCTGCCTGTGACACCAGCATCCCATATGAGTGCTGGTTCGAATCCTCAAAGTTCCACTTCTGATCCAATTCTTAGCTAATGGGCCTGGGAAAATGGTAGAAGACAGTCAAAGTGCCTTGGGTCCCTGCCACCCACGTAGGACACCCAGATGAAGTTCCAGGCTCCTGGCTTCAGTCTGCCCTAGGCCTGGCTGTTGCAGCATTTGGGGAACAAACCAGCGGATGGAAGATCTCGCTGTCTCCGTGTTTCTCCCTCTCTCTGGGTAACTCTGCTTTTCACCCAAATCAACAAATAGCTTTTAAAAATATACATTTGCTACTAAGACCATCGTTATTCTCTGAAAAATAATAATAAAAATATAGCACTTAAAAAACAGCACCAGTGGAAAAAATCTGGAAGGTCACAAAGTAACTACTGCCCCATCTTCCTGTGACCTCGGTCACGGCTCTGAGACAAGCAGCATGCATCCCATTCGGCACTGTACTGCGTGAGCACACTGCAAACCCCTGTCCTCGCGGAGCTTACCTCTAGTGAAAACATCTGCTTCAGATTTATCAGCCCCATGGGCGAATTCTAATGAAATTACCACAAAATACAAAATCATACACACATATGGTAGAATACTACTCTGCCATAAAAAGGGAAAAAAGTGCCACTGCATGCTGATACACATGAACCCTGAAAGCACTGCTAAGAAGCCAGGCACGTAAGACCAAACACTACATGACTATTTGTATGGAAGGGCCAGAACAGGTGAATCTGCGGAAGAAAAATAGGTCCGTGGTCGTCAGGGGCTGAGCAGAAGGGAATGAGGAGCGACCACTAGCGGGTCCAAGGTTTCTCTGGAGTGATGAAAATGTTCTGGGGTTAGGCTGCAGTGATGGCTACACCACTCAAACTAATGGAGTGTACATTTAAGAGTAGTATGAGAGACACATTTTATCTCAGTAAAGACAATGTATATGTAAAGTATAGCATAAAAATTTCCTTTCTAAAATTGTAAATAAAAAATGACATCAACTTACCAGTTGAAGTTTTGCCATTGTTTCTTCAAGAGTCCGCATTTCAGAGAGATTTCTTTGAATCTCTTGCTAGGAATACAAAGTCTATTTGGTGAACACTGAAAAGTCCAACTTTAACTTATCAGTAAGGCACAATGCAAACAAGAGCAAGCAATTTTTGGAGCGCTTCATGTTCCCTCTCTTTAGAGAGATCTGAGGCTCCAGCTCAGCACTCAGTTTGTATGAAGAGGAGGCAAAGCTGAGACTTCCTGTCCATCTCTGAAATCTGAAATGCTTTCAGAGACCCACATGCAGTATCTGAAAAAGGGGCACTTGGGCTGTACACTGGTCACTTTGTTTTCAGGGTATATCTCACAGCGCCATCACTTCCTGATGCTCCTAACCTATCTGCTCTCTCCCTAACTCTTACCAATCTGGATTCTCTGTGCCACAGCTGAGCAGAAGGCCAAGAGTAAAACATGACCCATCTGGAGTATCGTACTGGGCCAAGCTGTCATTTCTGAGCACTGCCAATGGAACATGAGAAGCTGTGTTCAACATGCTACGTGAATGAGACGAGAGAAGCCGTGTTCGGTATGCTACGTGAACGAGACGAGAGAAGCCGTGTTCGGTATGCTACGTGAATGAGACGTGAGAAGCCGTGTTCGGTATGCTACGTGAATGAGACGAGAGAAGCCGTGTTCGGTATGCTACGTGAACGCGACGAGAGAAGCCGTGTTCGGTATGCTACGTGAACGCGACGAGAGAAGCCGTGTTCGGTATGCTACGTGAACGCGACGAGAGAAGCCGTGTTCGGTATGCTACGTGAATGAGACGAGAGAAGCCGTGTTCGGTATGCTACGTGAATGAGACGTGAGAAGCCGTGTTCGGTATGCTACGTGAATGCGACGAGAGAAGCCGTGTTCAGTATGCTACGTGAATGAGACGAGAGAAGCCGTGTTCAGTATGCTACGTGCAAGTGCACGGAACATGCCAAAGAGAGGAGGTGCAAGAGGGTTACAATGAAACCACAACTAAAGGAGCAGAAATAAAAATCACTAATTATCCCCTTTTGCAAAATTGATTTGACTGTCCCTTGAGATTCCACATGAACTTTAGTATTTTTTCTTATTTCTGCAAAAAATGCCTTTGGGCCGGCGCCGTAGCTTACTAGGCTAATCCTCCGCCTTGCAGCGCCAGCACACCGGGTTCTAGTCCCGGTCGGGGCGCCGGATTCCGTCCCGGTTGCCCCTCTTCCAGGCCAGCTCTCTGCTGTGGCCAGGGAGTACAGTGGAGGATGGCCCAAGCACTTGGGCTCTGCACCCCATGGGAGACCAGGAGAAGCACCTGACTCCTGACTTTGGGTCAGCTCGGTGCGCCGTCCGCAGCGTGCGGGCCGCAGCAGCCATTGGAGGGTGAACCAACGGCAAAAGGAAGACCTTTCTCTCTCTCTCTCTCTCTCACTGTCCACTCTGCTTGTAAAAAGAAAAAAAAAAAGAAAAGAAAAGAAAAAATGCCTTTGGGATTTTGACACAGGTTGCACTGAATCTGTCATCGTTTTGGGTGGTATAGACATTTTAATATTGAGTCTTCCAATCCATGAATACGTATGTCTGTCCATTTATCTGTGGTTTTTTTTAGCTTTGTTCAGCAGTGTTTTACACATAGTATTTTCAAGTGTATGAGTTTTTATTGTTGTACTGGTTTATTAATTATTTTATTATTTTGGATGGTTAATATAAGTGGAATTATTCTATTAATTACCTTTTTGACTATTCATTATTAGTGTACAGAAACATACCTGAATTTTGTGTGATTTTATATCCTAAAATTTTGCTGAATTCATTTATTAGTTCTGTTTCTAAGGGCAGTCTCTAGGGTCTGCTACATATAAGATCATGTTATCTGTGAACAGGGATAATTTCACTCCTTCTTTGCAATTTGTAGGCCATTTATTTCCTTTTCTTGCCTAACTGCTCTTGCTAGGATGCCCAGTGTTATGCTACATAGAAGTGATGAGACTGGGCATTCTTACCTTGTTCCTGACGCTAGAGAAAAGCTAGTTCAGTCCATCACCACTGCGTATGATGCTTGCTGTGGGCTTTCCACATTTGCTTTTTAATTAGTATACTGAGATAGCTTCTGTGTTATTTCCCCCATTAGAGGAAACTACTATATAGAATCAATTCAGTGGCACAGAACAGTGGTCTTCAGACTGGGTTCTCCCTACTCCAGGGATGACATGAAGACTCCCCAAGTATTATGTAAAACTATGCTATGCACCTAGTTTTAAGCATCGACAGCTGGATCCTTAATTTTCAGTTGCAGCGCTCCTTAAACATGACCCTGCTGAGACCATGTCTGTGGTCTGGGTTTCATGTGAGTTCTCTATCCCACCCTTCCGTTCACAGCTGCCTTCCGCTCATTTCTCCAGAGCAAGGCAAACGTAACAGGGAGCTTTAAAACATTCAACGGAAGTGCGTACCGTTGAGCTCTATTTTCTATGAACTTTTTGAAGTGCCCTCATACATCTCACTCATGCCACCCACAATGGCACCATAAAGAATACTTGGGGGGGTCAGCACTATGGCATAGCCGGTAAAGCCGCTGCCTGCAGTGCCAGTATCCCATGTGGGTGCCGGTTCGAGTCCCTGCTGCTCCAATTCCCATCCAGCTCTCTGCAGCAGCTTGGGAATGCAGTAAAAGATGGTCCAAGTGCTTGGGCCCCTATACCCACGTGGGAGACCTGGAAGAAGCTCTAGGCTACTGGCTCCTGGCTTTAGATCTGCAGAGCTCCGGCCATTACAGCTATTTGGGGAGTGAACCAGTGAATGAAAGACCTCTCTGCCTCTGACTCTGTGCAACTCTGCCTTCCAAACAAATAAATAAATCTTTAAAACAAAACAAAAACAGGGCAATGGATAAAGAGAGAATCTGAAATGGTGGAGCTGGAAGATAGTTTTAAATAGGATACTATTTTCTTGCTTTACATTTATAAATCTTTTTCCAATAAAATTTTATTTTTAGTATTTATCAATATTTATATTTGTTACCTTGAACAACTGATTACTAACAGTTGTAAGGAAAATGCTGTTTTAGAGGAAAATGTTAACACTTTGAAATAGGAAATCTTTCAAAATAAAAAATTCAACTCATACACTTTCATTATAGAGATGTACCATACAGTGACCATAAAAAATGTTCAAGTGGGTTCAGCATTGTGGCGTAGCAGGTGGGGCCACCGCCTGCAGTGCCAGCATCCCATATGGGTGCCAGTTCAATTCCCAGCTGCTCTACTTCCTATCCAGCTCTCTGCTGTGGCCTGGGAAAGCAAAAGAAGATGGCCCAAGTCCTTGGGTCCCTGTACCCGCATGAGAGACCCAGAAGAAACTGCTGGCTCCTGGCTTCAGATCGGCACAGCTCCAGTTGCTGTGGCCAACTGGGGAGTGAACCAGCAGATGGAAGACCTCTCTCTCTCTCTCTCTCTCTGCCTCTCTCTCTGTAACTCTTTCAAATGAATAAGTAAATCTTTAAAAAAACAAACAAACAAACGCATATTCAACCATAGGATAAAATTTTGAAGATTTCAAGGAGAAAGGGCCACTTAACTTCTCATTGGTTAAATTTAAAAGAACAATGAGGGGCTGGCACTGTGGGTAGCGGGTTAAAGTCTTGGCCTGAAGTGCTGGCATCCCATATGGATGCCAGTTCTAGTCCTGACTGCTATCTTCCAATCCAGCTCTCTGCTATGGCCTGGGAAAGCAGTGGAAGATGGCCCAAGTCCTCAGGCCCCTGCTTCCACGTGGGAGACCTGGAGGAAGCTCATGGCTCCCGACTTTGGATACGCTCAGCTCCAGCCATTGCAGCCTCAGCCATTTGGGGAGTGAACCAGCATATGGAAGACCTCTCTCTCTCTTGCTGCCTCTGCCTCTCTGTAGCTCTGCCTTTCAAATAAATTAAAAAGAACAATGAGACAGTTTAAAGAGATCAATATTTATTCTTTGCCATCTACTTAAATATGAAAAATATTTCCTACCAACTTAAATATGTGCAAGGAAAAACAGGGTTTTTTTTTTTTTTTTTGCTTTGTTTTGTTTTTTAAAGATGTATTTATTTATTTGAAAGACAGAGAGAGAGAAGGAGAGGCAGAGAGAGAGAGGTCTTCCCTCTGCTGGTTCACTCCCTAAATAGCTGCAATAGCCGGAGCTGCGCTGATCCCAAAGCCAGGAGCCAGGAGCTTCTTCCAGGTCTCCCACGTGGGTGCAGGACCCAAGGACTTGGGCCATCTTCTACTGCTTTCCCAGGCCACAGCAGAGAGCTGGATCAGAAGAGGAGCAGCTGGGACTAGAACAGTGCCCATATGGAATGCCGGCATCGCATGCAGAGGCTTTACCCGCTACGCCACAGCGCCGACCCCAATAACACAGTTTTAAAGATGCTTTTAAAGGGTTCTTGACCAAAAGAGGGCAGAAAGAACAAACCTCTCAAAGTCTCACAATGCAGAGATAAAGGGCAGAGGAAAACAGGGACGATTTGGAGATCTATGCTATGTACAGGAGTGCTCTGGGAAAGCCTCTCAACTAGAATGAGCACAGTGACCTGGTGGAGAGAAACCACACTTCAGAAACCCTGGATGACCAAAACAAAAACCAGAAACACAAGATAAACCAAAGGCCTACGCATGCGTACTGGGGATCGCTCCCACAACCCAGGCCTGTTACCTTTGCTTCGCCGAGTTCTTTATCAGCGGTCTCAAGCACTTCTTCTTTATGTCGCTCCAACTGCTGTGCTAACTGGTCTATTTCAGTTAGCTCTCGGCAGAGTTTCTCATTCTTGTTACTTAAGTTAACAACCTCAGTTGTCACTGTTTCCTTGGTTTCCATAAGCTCTCGGATGTGCTTCTCCAGGTCCTTATTAGCTTGCTGAAGAAAGTCAACCTAAATGCAGTTCACAATGCATAACACGAGTTAGAGAGCTACCCTGAGCTTTCAAAATCACCATACAGAAGACTATTTCTAAAAGATACTGAGAGGAGTCAGCAGTGATGGCTCAAGTCATTCAGTCCCTGCCTCCCAGGTGGGGCACCTGGATTGAGCTCCCTGCTTCTGATCCAGGCTTCTGCTCTCACAGGCGGGCATTTGAGGAATGAACCAGAGCATGGAAGCTCTCTCTCTCTCAAATAACCTTTTTTTAAAAAAGATTTATTTATTTATTTGAAAGTTAGAGTTACAGATACAAAGGAAGAAACAAAGAAAGTGAGATCTTCCATCTATTGGTTCACTCCCCAGATGGCCACAAGAGCTGGGGCTGGGCCAGGCTGATGCCAGAAACCAAGAGCTTCTTCCAGGCCTCTCACATGGGTGCAGGAGCCCAAGCACTTGGGCCATCTTCTGCTGCTTTCCCAGGCACTAGCAGGGAGCTGGATCGGAAGTGGAGCACCTGGGACACAAATCAGTGACCATATGGCATCCTGGCATTGCAGGTAGCAGCTTTACCCACTACACCACAGTGCCAGACCATCAAATAAATTTTTTAAAAATGTTTTTTAAATACTGAAAGTTAAAACCACAGTTATTTTATATCTGCAAATTTGTATTGTCTTTATTTGCAAAACGGACAATGTGTGGTTTAATAAAAAATATACAGGCACTATTACAATTAATTCTATTATAATTTTTACTTTTTTAAAATCTGGCTATTGGAGGGGCTGGTGCTGTGGCACAGCAGGCTAAGTTACTGCCTACCGAGGCTGGCACTGTGGCATAGTGGGTGAAGCTGCAGCCTGGAGTGCTGGTATCCCATATGGATGCCAGTTCGAGTCCCAGCTGCTCCACTTCCGATCCAGCTCTCTGGCCTGGGATAGCAGTGGAATACAGCCCAAGTCCTTGGGCCCTGCACCCTCGTGGGAGACCCAGAGGAAGCTCCTGGCTTCAGACTGGTCCAGCTCCAGCTGTTGCGACCATTTGAGGAGTCAATCAGCAGATGGAAGACCTCACTCTCTCTATCTGCCTCTCAAATACATAAATAAATCTTAAAAAGAAAAAAAAAAGTTACTGCCTACGACACCAGCATCCCCTCTGGGTACCTCTTCAGGTCCCAGATGCTCTGCTTCCAATCCAGCTCCCCCACAATGCACCTGGGAAAGCAGAGGATGAGGGCCCACGTCCTTTGGGCCCTGACATCGACATGGGAGATCCGGGTGGAGTACCAGGCTCCTGGCTTCAGCTAGGCCTAGACCCAGCCATGTGGACATTTAGGCAACAAATCAGCAGATGGAAGATCTCTGCTTCCTCTCTCTGTCTCTAACTCTGCCTTCCAAATAAATAAATAAATCTTTTTTTAAAAAATCTGGCTACTGGAAAACGTAAACGTGTATTTAGCTCATGCTGTATCTCTATTGAACGGCACTGTTCCAGAGCTACTGCTCTCTTTTCCTCACTCTATTCCACCTGCAGCCCAGGCAGCTCTGACGTGTGTAAATGTCTGCAGTTCACGCCCTGCTTTATGGAACTCTCCTGTTCTTCCATTACACAAACAGAGGAAAGTTGCAGGTGTCTCTGTGTGTGTTTCTTTTAATCAGTTTTTTTATATTACAAAAAAAAGGCATAAATTTTTGAAAAATAAAGAAAACCAGAAAGAATATTCCACCACACAAAGATAAGTTTTGTGAGTATAGTTTGATTATTCTCTTCCAGTGTTTTCTCTAAGGGCATGCACACACTTTTTATAAAAGAAAACTGAATTGGAAGGAGGTGGCTGGAGAGCAGTTATTCCCTTTGGTGTCACTTAGACACCCGCGTTCAATACTGGAATGCCTGGGTTCGAGTCCTGGCTCTGATTCCGATTCAAGCCTCCTACTAATGCGCACTTTGGGAGGCATCAGTGATGCTTCAAGTGCCTGGGTCCCTGCCACTCAGGAAGACTGGACTGAGTTCTAGGTTCATGGCTTTAGCCTGGTCCAGCTCTGGCTGTTGTGGGCATTTGGGGAGTGAACCAAAGGACAGAAGATCTCCCTCTGTTTCTCTGCTTTTCAAATAAGTAACAATTAAAAGTAAATTGAAAATCGCATTGTGCCTATAGCTTTATTTTTTTCTTTTAAATTTTTAACACCACGGAGTACCTTAATTCCTGTGTCATTAAATATTCTTTAAAAACATGACTTTTGAAGCTGGCTTTGTGGCACAGCAGGTAAACCACCACCTGCTCATATGAGTGCTGGTTCAAGTCCCAGCTGCTCTGCTTCTGATCCAGCTCTCTGCTAATGTGCCTGGGAAAACAGCAGAAGATGGCCCAAGTGCTTGAGGCCCTGTCACCCATGTGGGACACCAGTGTCAGCCTGGCCTAGCCCAGGGCATTGTAGCCACTTCAGGAGGGAGTCAGCAAATGGAAGATCTCTCTGTGTCTCTCCTAATTCTGCCTTTCAAATAAATCTTCTTAAAACAATGACTTTTCCATGGCCGCATGGATACTTTGATTCTATCAATTTTTGCCACTGTAAATAACACCCAGTGAATATTCTTGTCAGTTTCATAAACCCCTAGACTATTAGAAACATCTGGAATTTTACACACTCAGTGACATCATGGAAGCCATTACCTGGATATTTAAATGAGCGATGAGCTTTTCATTGGTTTTATTTCTGTTCTCCAGCGTCAGGACATCAGGGGAACGACCCCCGTCCAAAGCCATTGACAATCGTTCTATCTCTCGTTCTCTTAGCTCAATCTGAAGGCAGAAAGTCACACTATCATTTTTTAAATTCTGGTTTTGGACTCAATGATTAACAAACACTTGGATATACCTTTTAATGTCACACAATATATGTAAGAAGACACTAACATTCTTATTTGTACCTGTATGCACATAGGCAGAGCAAAACACAGGATAGATAACACAGGAAATGTCAGAATTGTCTACACAGATCTCCTGGGTACTGAACAGACTCTTCCTAATTTGGGGGTTTCTTTCACTTCAAAGACAAGACCATATTTACAGAGAAAGAAACTTGCTGGCAGATTCCACACACGCTTAGATCCTGGACCTGAGTCTGAACTACTTCAGTGCCTGCTGGAACAAATGTGAGTCCACGAACGACCGACACACCAATGACATAGTCGCTACTGAGCCTCAACACTAAAGTGACAGCAAGGTACAGTGAATCTAATCAAGTATCCACTTCCTAGAAAACAACGCACGTACAATCAAAGAGATCACTATTAACCATATACTGACACTAATTCACACCAAAACTTGGGGAAAACACACACAATTTTGAGCTTTGGTTTTCTTTTCCAATAAGTACTGAAAATAAAAACCAAATAATTCAACAAACAATTACTGAGTACAGAACTAGGAACACAAGATGAATACAATGTGGCCCTGACTTCCAGGAACACCAGCTCCACAGGGAAACGCAGCAAGTGAGGCAGCAACCGCTGTGAAATACAAGAACGGAGGAAGTGAGTGCACGGCGCCAACGCAGCCGTGAGATGAAAGGATTCACTCCGCATGGTGTGCTGGTGCCTGTGGAAACCAGTGCACATCTCATCCAGAGGCCAGGAAGAGAACAGCCTGGTGTGACCGTCCCGCGATGCACACGGGGACGGGAGGTGGAGAGGAGTGTGAAGACCTGGGCAGGAGCTAATCGTGATTCCTCTGGGCTGAAGAATGAATTAGACTGGACCAACACCACGTCAGGGAGACTCACGGCAGGAATGGACGAGAGACGATTAGGACTGGCAGAACTGAACAAAGTGTACGACGTCCTGGACAGAAGAACTGACAGAACGTGGTGCCAGGAGAGCGCGGTCTGACAGACGACAGCGTCTGCACTGGGGCATCTGGTGACATTACCCACCCACAGAGGGAACGCAGAAGTCAGGGCAGATTTGGGACAGGAAGTAACACGGTTAGCACCAGGCAAGTGAGCACCAACAGACCACATCCACACACAGGTGCCCAGAGTGAAAGCCCACGGCTCTGTAGCTCAGCAGTGTGACCAACAAGTCACCAATACTTTAAACCAAGAGCGCAGGTGAGCACGCTTGAGAAAGCACACAAGAAAAGCAGAGGGGATCCAAAGAACCCTGGAAAACAGTAACATTCCTGGGAGCAGGTGGGTGAAGACGCAAAAAAGAAATAAGAGATTTTCAAAAACAAGGAAAACTCAAAGAAAATGAAGCTATAGAAGTTTCAAAAAGAAGCGAACAATAATGCCCAGGAGCACAGAATGGGTCAAGAAGATGAAGACTTAGTACTGATCTAGTGATTTGGACCTAGTGATTAACACGACGGCCACCATTAACAACACCAGTTTACACGGTGCGGGGCAGGAGGCAGACCCTGGTGGGGAAGGAGCCAGCGGGAGGTGAGAGGTGGACAGAAAAGGAGGCACTGAGTCCGAAGCTCCTCTGAGAAGCCTGAGGGAGCAACAGGCTCTGGTGTGGGCCGGGGAGGAGGCAGTCAGCAGACTCGGGAGGGCTGCTAGTGCTGCACACAGCACCTCCCAGGCGGCCCTCCAGATGCCGGGTCAGGGCTCGTCAAAGGAACCAACAGAGCCTCACCCAGGGACTGCCGATGGACACTGACCACAGGGGGGCCCTGAGGGAAGGAAGGGAGTGCACAGGTGGGCTCGGCCTTAAATACCAAACACTAGCCTACCCCCCTGCCACTAAGGCGCAGGCGAGCCCAGCGTCAGTACTGCTCTTTCAAAGGAAGAGAGGAAGTGCGACAAGGCGATATCCTCAGGAGGACGTCATGGGCTGGGGAAAGTTGAGGACAGCAAGATGTGGAATGTGAGCTGAAGAAACAGAACGAACCCCAGCAAAAGCATAGTCACAGCGGCAAACGGCAGAGCAGGCTCAACACCGCTCCGTAAACACTCTAAACAAACCGGCAGCTTCGCTCCCAACAGAGAAGCTGTTTTCTCCAAACCCCTCTTCTTCAGCCACCGCACAGAAGGGCACAACTGGCCAGCTTATGTTTATAAAGCACTTGCGGGACAATGCGATATATGATTATAAACCGAAAAATACCGGTAGTATTTAACTCACATGTGTATTTGACATTTTCAACTTCTCTTCATAAAATATGTATTGTGACTGACATCACAATTTTTCTTTTAATTCTGCTTTTATCCAAATAATCTTCAAAGTACTTTATAGACGTAACAGCTGCATCCAGCACACAGTAACAGCTGTGTCTGTGCAGATCACTTCACTCCAAAAAAGTCACGTGCAGAAAACAACAAACATTACCCAACTGAAACCTCAGAAGGCACAACAAGAAAGCAGGCCTGTCGCCACTCAAGTCAGAGTTTAGCCAAGGCAGCAGCAGAAGTAGGAAAGGACAAAGCTCGCTATGGTTACCATTAACTGTGCAGCTAGGAATTCCCCTGCCTCTTCAGGTACTAAACGTCTGGAGAGAAAACACAAAACGGGACAACACAGAAGAGCAATTTCCAAAGAGATTTTTGTTCAAAACGTCAAAATCTATGAGTAAAAAAGTCACTAGAAACACAATTACAAAACACAGCATACCTTAATAAAATCCCTCCTGAGATGGAAACGGTTATATGGCTATAAAATTAGACTTAGGAAGACAAACAAAACGAAACGAAACAAAACCCACTCTTCACTCCAACCACCAGGGACTAAAGCCCCGAGTGTCCAGGCCGCCCCACAGTTCACTCTAGCGGCAGACTGATGGAAAAGATGGCAGCCAGGTAAAAGCACCTGTCAGTAGTTACAAAGATAACACAGCTGCACTCAGGACCACAGCACGCACGTCGCAGCCTCAAACGCACAAATCAGTAACATCCTACCTGCTTGCTATAGTCTCTCACTCCACTCTCCATCACTGCTAACTTTTCTTGTAACTGCTGGACTTCCTGTTGAAGTTCTTGAATCCTGAAACACATTTATAACTCATGCCAACATGCTTTTTTTTAAAGAGGTTTTCAACTGTAACAAGTATTTTTAACTTGGGGGACAGACAGTGAGAGAGACAGAGACATCTCTAATCTTCTGGTTTACTCCCAAAAGCCCAGCATGGCCAGGGCTGGGTCATGCTGCAGCTGGGAGCCAGGAACGCATTCCAGTCTCCCACAGGAGTGCAGGAGCCCAACTCCGTTAGCTGCCACCGCTGTGCCCCAGGGTGCACACCGGCAGGAAGCTGGAGTCAGAGTGGAGCCAGGACTGGACCAGGAGCTCGGACACAGGATACAACCAAGCAGCATCTCCAACACTAGGCCAAACGCCTGCCCCCAGCACATCTTCGTCAAGAAATGAGAATAGGAATGGGAGAGGAGTGGGAGGTGGGAAGGGAGTGCAGTTTAGAGGGCGGGAATCAGGGGAAGAAACACTATATCCCTAAAAGCTCTACATATAAAAATTTGTATTCATTAAATAAAAAAGTGGGCCAGCGCCGCAGCTCACTAGGCTAATCCTCCGCCTGCGGCGCCGGCACCCCAGGTTCTAGTCCCGGTCGGGGCGCCGGTTCTGTCCCGCTTGCCCCTCTTCCAGTCCAGCTGTCTGCTGTGGCCAGGGAAGGCAGTGGAGGATGGCCCAAGTCCTTGGGCTCTGCACCCACATGGGAGACCAGGAAGAAGCACCTGGCTCCTGACTTTGGATCGGTGCAGCACGCCAGCTGTAGCGGCCATTTGTGGGGTGAGCCAACGGAAGGAAGACCTTTCTCTCTGTCTCTCTCTCTCTCTCACTGTCTAACTCTGCCTGACAATAAATAAATAAATAAATAAATAAATAATAAAATAAAAAATGAGAATAATGAGAAATGGAACTAGACGGGTTCTCTTACACATCCTGTGCTTTCTGCTTCTCAATGACGAGATGCTACCTAGGCAGTCCCATAGCCTCAGCATTAGTATAGCTCATCATCTTGGAGCCTTAGTTTTATAAGAATAGATAAAAATCTGAGTGGCAAATAACTTGAAATTCAGCTATATTGTGCAATAAAACACCTAACTACTGCATTTTGATCTTTAGGACAATCTTTAGTTCCAGAACTCCCAAGAAGTGAAAGAAGGAACTAAAATGTGTTTTGTGACCCTCAAAGACCCCATAATGTCTAAAAAACTACTCTACTTCTACAGAGAAGGAAAAATATCAAGAAATAATGGAATTTCTCAAACAACAGCAATAAAAAAATCTAATCCTTTTGGAATTTGTTAACTCTTTGAGAAGCAAGATTTTGTCCAAACTGTCTGAATTCCACAGGCACTAACCTATATTTGCATTACACCAGTATTGTCTCCTACTGGGACAATAAAACCAGTAACAGATTTTCCATAGGTGGCACAGGGCTGGACCAGCTTGCCCCTGTTACCAATGGACCCAAACTGTCCTGTGACCCTGGGCTTAGGACGCCACTGCACTCACATAAACGCATGAGTGAACACAGACAAAATGTGCTTCTGCAAACAAAGGCAATACATGTCCTCCATGTCACCCAAATTCCAACTTCAATCATACAAACAACTCATCTGCGATGTCCTAGAGTAGAACAGAAGTCTATAAATTCAGAAATGCTAAATTTTTCATGGTTAAGGCCAGATAACTATACAGATATGTAATACTGTTTGAAAATAACTGAGTGAAGAGATCATAATCAGTGTTCTAATTCACATCATATCAAGACTAATACACTGAACATCTCCCCCATACGCTCTGCATCATCGACGATTAAGAAGTTACCTGCACTCGTACACCTCGCAGGCGAAGGCCTCCCGGCCACCACAGACTCTCACTACTGCTCACTAGCTCCTGTGGGCCCCGCACCTTGCACCAATGGCATCCTGTGCTCCTCTCGTCTCATCGTCCTACTGGACTGCGAACTTCTCAAAGGCAGCACCACCGCCGCATTCACCTTCCAGCCTGAGAACACTCACTGGGTGCCTGCCCGGCAGGCTGAGTGTGACTTCAGCTAAACAGACGTGATATGGGGTCCAATTTAAGGAAATACAAAGAGCTAGAAAATTCATGAAACAATTTCAAATCCAGTTACAAATCTATTCATGTCACTGGCATTTGACCCACGTCTAAAGTAATAGATTCCTGTGGAAGACAACTTAACCAGACATGCAACTAAATGTCAAAGCAACTCCACGGCAATGGGTCTTCAGTGCACTAAAGGATTTTAAAAGTTTGGACTGGAAACCTTAGATACATGGCCTATTTGAAATCAAAGTTTCAAAACAAGTAAAATCATTCTACCTCATTCACAAAGTATTTACTGAGTGCCTGTGAAAAGTTCTGGCCAGAACTAGAGATACCACACTGAAGACAAAAGTGCTCAAAGGCTCATTCAATGCACCTGTTATCAGCCACCTGCAGGAGGTCTGCAATGTAAGGGTCCTCCGGCTGAGGAACTGGGTATGAACTGACTTCAGATGGAGGGACTGGCTCGTCAATCTGCATTCGCTGCCGCCTGAAAGCAATACTTCTCTTCTTGCCCCCTAAAAAACAAGTGAGTACCTTAAGAAGAAGCAAAATAAAACAATGTCTTCCATTTAAATATCCCAAGTTAGGCTTTTTGTTATAAAATGTATCTCATTGAGATACTTTCCCCTCACATGTAAATATCCGCTCTGATCCACATGTATTTCTGAAAATCTCAAGGGGACGTGGTTATAAAACAGACTTAATGCACCCGCCTGCTTGCTGTGTTCCTCCACTAGATGGGGGTACGACCTAAGCAAGAGTAAAAGCTGTACCTTGTGGTGTTCACTATGACGAGCTAAGAAACCATCACTACGATGTCATTCAGGAAGTGAGAACTAAAATATGCAGGTGTGGTGCCGGTGCTGTGGGGTAGTGGGTAAATCTGCCACCTGCAGTGCAGGTATCCCATAAGGGCACTGGTTTGAGTCCCAGCTGTTCCACTCCCAATCCAGCTCTGTGCTATGGCCTGGGAAAGCAGCAGAAGATGGCCCAGATCCTTGGGCCCCTGCCCCTGCACCCGCGTGGGAGACCCAGAAGAAGCTCCTGGCTTCAGATCAGTGCAGCTCTGGCCGTTGCAGCCATTTGGGGAGTAAACCAGTGGATGGAAGACCTCTCTCTCTCTCTCTGCCTCTCCTCTCTCTGTGTAACTCTTTCAAATAAATAAATAAATCTTTAAATAAAATATGCAGGCGTATGAAACAGCTAACAAATGTTAAGTAGCAAAATTAGAATACAATGGAATGTCACCTGTAAAACAAAGTCGTGCCATATTCTAAAGTATTATTGGTAGAGAGTGTTTTCCTGATTATATTTACATGCGGCAGAAGTAATTTTTTAATAGTAATCACTATCTTTAAAAACAGATTTTTCAATTTATTTTCCTGAGAGGCAGAGAGAAGCAGCCTGCTTCCATCTGCCAGTTCAGTTCCCAAGTGCCTGGCCAGAGCCAGGAACTCAGGGCAGGTCTCCCACACATGTGGAAGGAATCCAACCATCTGGGCCATCGCCACCGCTTCCCAGGGCCTGTGTGAGCAGGAGGCTGGAGTCAGAAGCTGAACACGGGCACTGAACTCCAGCATTCTAACACGGGAAGTCCGGGCCAAACAGCCGCCCAGGAAGAACTTCTTCTGAGAATAACAGAGCCTCATGAAGTACAAACATCATCTACAATTTTGTCTTCACTGGTATTCTAACACTGTCGTTCCCCCTCTTCACGGAGGAACGACACTAGACCCTGCGCTGTTCTTTTGTCTGCTCGGCCCTCCCCGGGTTTGCTGCTGGTTCTTCCCGGGTTGGCTGCCGATCCTTCCACCTCCGTGGAAGGGCGGCTCCCCCTGCCACTTTCCCCACTTCCGCGGGGGAGCGGCACACCGACGGCCGGCTCTCTCGGGGGCTGCTCAGATGTTATCCGGATGTTCCTGGTGCATGCTGTCTCTCTCCTCCTTTATAGTCCTCTTCCTCCAATCCCAACTCTGCTACCCACACGCCGAGTACGCTGCTCTCCTCCAATCAGGAGCAGGATCAGCTCCTGCAGGTTACTGGTTGAACTGGAGGCAGCTGTGTAGAAGCTGTTTCCTCCTCTCCCAGCGCCATATTGTGGGAGAGCAGATGCATAGAATAAGTCATAATTCCAGTAACTCAGTCCAGTCCGAGTTGCTCCCCACATAACACATTTCATCTTAAGAAGGAAAAGACTTACCTGGAGTTTGTACAACAGCATGCAAATTCTTTTCTTGAAGTTGTTGGATTTTTTCATTTTTAGCTTTGCCCTCTTTCTCCAAAAGCCTGAGTTTATGAACATACTGGTTATTTAGAAATTTCAGGTCAGCTGTTTCACGTGCACATTTCTTCAAAGCAGTTTTCAGGTCTTAAAAAGACACAGACTATTTTAGATCATGAAATCCCTCTATTTTACAAAATTCAATCGCCTCCACCTCAGGGCCCCCCTGGTTCTTAGGCATGCTGCCCGAAGCCTGCTGCCCTTCTGTCAGCACTGATGACACCGCAAATAACTCACTAAGCAGAGGGAATCTGGCTTTCCTGCGGTGGTAGTAGCCTACCGTACATCACGGCTTTTGATACAGTAAACTGGGGTTTGAAGCACAAGGATTATGAATTCAAACGAGGGGTTAGACAGCTTTCCAGTGACTCTCAGGATAGTTTACAAGGAGGCAACTATATAATTACTCTTTGCCTAGCCTTTGAAATCTTCCTACTCTACCTCCCAGCTCAGTGACTCGTACCTTATTTCACTACTTTTATTTTCCAGTAAGGGAAAAACAAGAATTGTTTCAAGAACATTTCCTCAGTTCCAGCGTTTAGTATCTCCATAGCAAGTTCAATTCTAAAACTCCAGTCCACATACAGTGCAGACTAGTGTAGCTATGGAATGCACATTTTTTTTTTTTTTTTTTTTGACAGGCAGAGTGGACAGTGAGAGAGAGAGACAGAGAGAAAGGTCTTCCTTTTGCCGTTGGTTCACCCTCCAATGGCCGCCACGGCCGGCACACCGCGCTGATCTGATGGCAGGAGCCAGGAGCCAGGTGCTTTTCCTGGTCTTCCATGGGGTGCAGGGCCCAAGCACCTGGGCCATCCTCCACTGCACTCCCTGGCCACAGCAGAGGGCTGGCCCGGAAGAGGGGCAACCGGGACAGAACCCGGCGCCCCAACCGGGACTAGAACCCAGTGTGCCAGCGCCGCTAGGCGGAGGATTAGCCTAGTGAGCCGCGGCGCCGGCCTTTTTTTTTTTTTTTTTTTGGGAATGCATATTTGCAAGTGTTTTCCATCTCAGGAATTCCAATATACCCCACAGTATTTCAGGAGCTTTTTAGCAGAAGGATTGCCATATTTTCCAGTCAGCAGTTTCAAAATTAGACAAAAAAAGATACTACATTTTTAAAATTATCAAATTTTCACTTACCTTTTATGTGTTGATCTGAGTGTTCTCTTAGTTTCATTAACTCTAGGTATAATTCATTATTTTCCCTACTCAATCTTGCATTTTCTAGTTTATAAGGTTCCAAAACAAAATCAAAATTGGCACTTTCTTTTTCAGCTTTCACAGTAGATAATTTTGATTGCCGAAGACTTTCTGTTGTATGAACTAAGTCACTAAAATTCAGGAACAGAAAATGAAAACACAAGGAAATAGCCCATTAACTTCCTATTAACTAGAAATACACTTCTAGAAAAGCTTGGGGCCACACTGTGGCATAGCAGGTTAAGCTACCACCTGCAATACCAGCATCCCACATGGGTGCCAGCTGGAGGGCCAGCTGCTCCACTTACAGTCCAGCTCCTTACTAATGTGCTTGGGAAAGCAGCAGAACATGGCCCAAGCACTTTGATCCCGGTACCCACTTGGGAGACCTGGAAGAAGCTCCTGACTTCTGGCTTCGGCCTGGCCCAGCCCCAGCCACTGCAGTCATTTGGGGAGTGAACCAATGGATAGGTGGAAGATCTCTCTCTCTGTCTCTTCCTCTCTCTGTGTTAGCTCTTTCAAATAAATAAATCTTTAAAAAATGCTTAAAAGATATGTCAATGTGAAATAAGAACAAATTAAAAAAAAAAAAGAACGACTACTAGGATCCTTTTAAGGCATCAGAAGATCCTTTACCAATTTCCCCAAACAAAATGAATGACAAGCTACGAGAGACACACACTAGCTTCATTCTGAGTCCCCTCCCTTGCTCACTGCCTCAGGTCCATTTCCTCACCTACTCCTGTGTTCACTGAGCAAGCATCTGAGTGTCTGCTGTCTTGCTAACACCAAGGACACAACAGAGTCAGCTCCTCACTTCCCAGAATGCACAGCAATGGAGTATCCACTAAGTCCTTAGTGAGCCAGGACACGATGCAGTCCTCAGCAGTGTGCAGTTTACAGGAGAGCTTCAAAAACTCAGGGAACACGTGTTTCCTTTTCATTTCACTTTTCCATGAACTTCCAAATAACTGAGAGGCAAAGCATCATAAGAGAGGGAAAGTCATAGACGGTCCAACCGCTGGTTCAGTCCCCAGATGGCTACAACATCCAGGGCAGGCAGAAGCCAGGAGCGGGAACTCCATTCTGGTCTCCTACGTGGGTGAGAGGGGCCTGGACTTGGGCCATGCCGTCTTCCCAGGTGCATTAACAGGAAGCTGGACAGTAAGTGAAGCAGTTGAGGCTCAACACGGGATGCCATCGCAGGAATGGCTTAACCCACTGCACCACAACATGGGTCCCTCTATCCTAAGTTCCTCTAAGTGCCCTCCTATTCTACTGACAGCAGAATGCCAAATGTTCTATTCCTATGTGATAAACTCAAATCTTTCTGTGCCCCTAGGCGTTCAACCTGTCTATTGACAGCACTGACAAAGTCAGGGTCTCTGGTTGTGGGGAGGCACAAGCAGCCAGGCAAGGCCGCGCCGCGCCGCGTCCCAGTGGTCAGAGTCCTGCAGGACAGGCAGGGCCAGGCCCACACAAGTCTCTCACCCAACTGAGACCGCACACGAGCTCAGGGAGCTTCCAGCGATGGCACGCACGGGAGGTCAAGCTGCAGGCAGCAGCCAGGACTGGAGCAGGAGGGATCTGGGAAGCCACCAGGAAGACGCAGCTCTTCACCCACCCTCTCCTTCCCGACATCGACACTTGAGGTCCACTGCAAAAGCTTCCTACACAACCTCCCTGCTCCGACCTCAAACCACCCCAACTTAGAAAAGGGGAAAAAGGATAAAGAACTTTGCAGTTAAGGCAACACGTAAGCGACAGCCTTGCCCAACACGACACCAGAGTCACTGTTAACCGACAGAGATTACAGAGCAGGCCGCAGACACAGCACTCCAGAGGGACCAGCATCTCCACACCACCACTGTGCTGAGAGCGAGCGAGCGAGCGAGCGAGAGAGAGCTCAGAACAGACACAGCGCTCCAGAGGGACCGCGTCTCCACACCACCACTGTGCTCAGAGAGAGAGAGAGAGAGAGAGAGCGCTCAGAACAGACACAGCGCTCCAGAGGGACCGCGTCTCCACACCACCACTGTGCTCAGAGAGAGAGAGCGAGCGAGAGAGAGCGAGCGAGCTCAGAACGGACACAGCGCTCCAGAGGGACCAGCGTCTCCACACCACCACTGTGCTCAGAGAGAGAGAGAGAGAGAGAGAGAGAGAGAGAGCGAGAGCTCAGAACAGACACAGCGCTCCAGAGGGACCGCGTCTCCACACCACCACTGTGCTCAGTGAGCTCCGAAGCACCCGCTCTGAAGAGCAGGCTGTGAGTGGCGACCCCGGTTTTACAGTGCGGAGACGCTGCACTGAGGACAGCAGGGTAGGAGCTAGGGGGGAAGGGAAGAGCAACAGAGGACTGGGGTCTTCAAGGTTTGTGCACTTCTTCACTGATGCAGGAAGCTCGACCAGAACCCAGCTGGGGGGTGGGGGGCGGGCTCCTGGAGGTCGGGAACTGTGGTTTTACCTTTACCTGAAAAGCTTTTCCACCAAGGGTAAACATTCTACCGTCAGAGTCTGGCGGTAGCCCAACTGATCCAATCTCTTCCTAATGTTGATGTACTTCCTCTCTGCTGCTGTGGTCATCCTGCCGTCCACTCAGTCCTTCTCACTGCCAAAATCAAAGCCCTAGAAGAAGAGTGAAGCAGCGTGACGTCAGTGGGGCAGCTAGGAACCGCTTCTTGGCTTTTTTCTTGTGCAGCAGGCGGCCTCCTGGAGTATTTAGACGGACTTGAACCCAGCGCTTCTGGGGCTCGTACTCTACATCTAAACTACGTCCTCTCTTCATAAACTCAAACGTGCAGCTTACGACAGTAAAGATTCTAGAAGGAAACAAGCAGCGGGCAGAGCCTGAGGTGGGCAGAGGACGCTCAGTGAGCACTCTTTCAGAAGTACCAAACAGAAAAGGAAAAACCTGCCACACGGGACTGCGCCAAAATGAGAAACGTCTGCTCATCGAAACATTCCACCCAGGAAATGTACAGGCAAAGCCAACGAGTATAGGACAGCAGGCCTAGCTACCTGGACTATAAAGGAACTTTCACCACTCAAGACTAAGAACCCAGGAGAAATGTGTTTGGATTAAAAGCAAAATTCAGTTTTGCTTGACTTGGCACAAGCACTCTGCAGAAGAGACCTGAACTGGAGCATCACAGGAAAAGGTACTCAGGTAACGTCGTCAGGCAGACACAAAGTAAAACCACAATCAGCGTCAATTTCATCCACACCAGAATGGCTGAATATAAAGGGCCCAGCCACACCATATGTCAGCTAAGTCGGGGAGCACCCGGAATCTACACACACACACACACACCCGGAATCTACACTCACACACACACCTGGAATCTACACACACACACACCCGGAATCTACACTCACACACACACACACACTGGAATCTACACTCACACACACCCGGAATCTACACTCACACACACACACACCCGGAATCTACACACACACACACACACACCCGGAACCTACACTCACACACACACACACACCGGAACCTACACACGCACACACACACACCCGGAATCTACACTCACACACACTCACACCCGGAATCTATACACACACGCACACACACCCGGAATCTACACTCACTCACTCACTCACTCACACACACACACACACACACCCGGCCGGGGAAGGGACCATCCTTGGGGGACCGCCTGGCAGTTTCTGAGAAAGTTACATGCACTTGTGCCCTGTTAATCCCGCAGGAAACGTGGGGTCTCTGCACGGGGACGGGGGGGCGGCGAGCTCCTGCTGCTGGCCAGCACCAGCCAGGAGGCTCCAGACACCCCGACCCCCGGCACTGCCCCAGTCCTAGGGGGCTCAACAACAGGCAAAACCGAACTGCGCCCCGAAATGCCTACAGCAGCCGCCCGCCCGGGGACGTGGAGGGGCAGTGGCAGTGACCGGAAGAACCTTCCAGAGGGAATTACCGACCAGCCCCTGGTTGACCGCGGGGGAACGCAGCCGTGCGCCTTTACGACAGCACCGGTGCGCTTCAGCCCCGTGCACCTCGCCTAACGCGTGTCCGCACCCTGCTCCGTCCCAGCCTCGGCTGGCTGCACCAGGTCCTAGGATGCAACCCGTCGGCTCGCATCCTCACAGCCACCGGGCACGGGACGAACGCCCACCACTGCCCAGGCGAGGGGCCCTGCCCGCACCCCGGGGCGGCCTGCCCCGCACCGCACCCCGGCTTCCGGCCCGCGGCCCTCCACTCACCGGAGCCCTCCTAATCCGGCACCTCTCCGTGTCGCTCCCTCCCGCACACCCTCCTCCTCCTCCTCCTCCTCCTCGCCGCCCGCGGGACGACGCAGGGAAACTCCTGCCCTCGGGAGAAATCCTCCCGGGCGCCTCCGAGCGGGCAGGGCGGCGCCGCCGGCCGCCTGTGCTGCGCCCGCCTCCCGCTCGGCTCCCCCGGCCACGACCCCTCCGCCGCTCCGGGAGCGCAGGGCCCGCTCGCGGCGCGGCGCGGCGCGACGTCACGGCCAGCGGCCCCCGGGCACGCCGGCTGGGCTCAGAGGCAAGGCGCCCCGCACCCCCATCCACGCCTTGCGGCTGTTCGCTTTCGGCTTCCAGCACACAGCCTGCGGACACCGGCGGCGCCCACTCGCGCGGGGCCCGAACCGTCCGCCCCCGGCCCGCGAACGTCGCCTCCGCCACAAACACCCCGCGTGAGCGCGCGCGCGCCCCCAGACCCCACAGCCGCGGCCGCAACAGAGCGCGCGGGCTTCCGGGCGGCGGACGCGGCCTCCGGCGGCCCCGCCCGGCTCCACACTCACCGGCAGCCCCGGCCGCCGCTCCCCGCGGCCGCCGCCGCCGCCGCATCGCCCGCGGGCCTCGTCCCCGCTGCCGCGTCAGCCGAGTTTGAAAATGGCGCCGAGAGACGGGCCGGGCCGGCCCGGAGGAGGCGCCGCGGTTGCCCCGGTAACGGAGCGGCGGACGGCGCGCGGCCGAGGCTGCGCCGGGAACCCGGGGCCCGGAAGCGCAACGGTCTGGGCGGGGCGAGGCCGCGGGCGCCCCCTGGCGGCCGGCCCCAGCCTGGGCGGGGCCGCTGTCGCACCCTCCCGCGGTGAGCACCTGCTGCGTGCGGGGTGAACGCGCCGCCCCGCTCCCGGTCGCTGCGGGCGGACCGGCTGCACCTGCTCCCTGGCCCGGCCTACTCCCCGGCGGCGATTCCAGGTGGGCCTTTCGGCGTTCCCCGACCCCCGCCGGAACAGAGTTGTTCCCCCACGACCAAGTCCGCCCGAGGCTCTGCGGGTGTATAGGTCTCTCCCGCCGCCCCCGACTGCGGACGGAATTAAGCTGCTTACGGAGCACTGCTGGTCGGAGGGAGCCACGGGGTCATGGCAGAAGCCCGTGTCGCCTCTGAAAACTTTCTGGGGAACTCACTTTGTTCCTGTTCGGCCTTCCCCCTACCGATAGGACGCCCACTCTGGAAGCCGACTCATCTTGTGGCTGCTGCCAGCTTTGTACCCACCCGTGCACTGCTCTCACTCTTCCACTCTGAGCGCCTTGTCTGCCTGCCTGTGCCCCGATGGGCTGTGGCGTGGAGTTTCTGCGAAGCAATGAGTGCGGTTCCGTAGGTGACCCTGGTGTGTCCCACACCCGTGCCTCGTGTTTTGTTTTTGTTTTCCTTAGCAGCACAGCGGACGTCTGTTCTGAAAGAGCCCTAAGCAAAGAACAGGGCGGGATGGCTGCCCCAAACACACACTCCTTAGAAAACGGACCAGTAAAACCCAATAGAGAGATACAGAAGCTGAATGAGACGGAAGCCACGGGGGAGCTCTGCTCCAAGTGACAGCAAAGCCCAGGGTCCGGCTTACGGCTGAAGGCACACCGAGGAGTAGGAGCCGAACTAAAGAAAACGGAAGCCACGTTGAGGCTGGCTGTGAGGGCTGTAGCAGGTGCACAGCTGGGGAGGCAGAGAGAAGCACCAACAGGCTCCCAGCGGCAGAAAATGAGCCCACTGACCGGCTCCCAGGGGCTCCAGGAGCTCCCCAGGGCGGGAGCCTGACAGGCGCCACTGGGCTTCGTTCCTGGTGAGGGAGGCCTGATGATGGGGAGGTGGGGAGGCCGATGTAGAGACACAGGGGAATAACCATCCCGGAGAACGAGTCTGCCAAGAGAGATGCCGAAACAACGAATTCCAACGTGAAGGAGAGAGCCAACAAAATAAATGCCAGTTCTCTCCAGAGGACAGGAGCTGGCTGACTGTTTAAATGTGGAAAAGCTTACAACAACCTTGACAGAGCTTACAGTGACCTTGAGGGATGCCTCTCTCTCTCTCTATCTCTCTCTCTCTCTCTCTCTCTCTCTAAGATTTAGTAAGACAGAGTTACAGAGAGAGGTAGAACCAGAGAAAGAGAGAGGTCTTCCATCCACTGGTTTACTCCCCAAATGACTGCAATGGCCAGACCTGAGCTATCTGAAGCCAGGAGCTTCTTCCAGGTCTCCCATGCAGGTACAGGGGCCCAAGGACTTGGACCATCTTCTGCTGTTTTCCCAGGCCATCGCAGAGAGCTGGATTGGAAGTGAAGCAGCCAGGACTAGAACCAGCACCCATATGGGATGCTGGCACTGCAGGCTGGGGATTTAACTCACTGTGCCACCATGCCAGCCAGAGGAATGACCCTTGACCTCAGCCCTTTGACACCTTGGTGAGAAGGGCCTGTCCTGCAGCCTGTAGAATGTTCGGTGGCATTCCTGGCTTGTACACTCTGGATGCCATGGCAGCATGTCCCAGCCCCTGGGCTGTGACAACCAAAAATGTCTCCAGGCATTGCCAGATGTTCCTTGGGAAGACAAAGCTCAGCCCTGCTGGGAACCACTTGCTTGGCTGGATGAAGGTGCAACACCATGAAAAAGACTAAGAATTATTAAATGAAGCAGCAACAAGTGGCTACAGAGGCGATCCACTCAGAAAACTTGGGAGGGAAAATGTAGTCTAAAGTTTTAAAAGTTTATTAAATGAGAGAACTGTAGATCAGGCCAGTGAAAACAATTTAGACAATTTCCCTGTACCCCAGTGTAGACAGACACTGTTTGAGAAAGCAATTAATAAATTAAGCGGTCTTCAAAATGTTAATGGGAAATACATAGTATGGGTTTGCTATGCATGGATTTCAAAATTATTTTGCACCAAAATATACATCTTTTAATTCCATTTTCAGTAAACTTTAAAAGCTTTATTTCTGTGTATTTGAAAGGCAGAGAGGCAAACAGAGGCAGAGCGGGTTCTTCCAGCCACTGGTTCACTCCACAAATGCCGGCGATGGCTGGGGGTAGGTCAGGCCAAGACCAGGGGACAGGAACTCTGGATCTTCCTGGGTTTCAGGGACCCAATTACTTGACGCATCATCTGCTGCCTCCCACGATGTGCACTAGCAGGAACACTTTGAGCTTGGACTCAAACTCCAGTAAGGGAAACAGGCATCCCAGGGACAGCCCAATGGCAGCACTAAACACCTGCCCCTGTGAACATTTTCTGGTCCTCGCCTACGGGTGATAACTTCAGAGGCTGCAAAAGGCACCAGAAGGAAGAGCAGCTACAGTAGGCAGAATGGTCCACCAAAGACATCCACATCTAGATCCATTGCATTATATAGCAAGAGGTACTTTGAAATTAGTTAAGACTAAAGGCCTTGGGGCTAGCGTTGTGGTGTGCCAGGTAAAGCCACTGCCTGCGATGCTAGCATTCCATATGGGCGCCGGATCGAGTCTGGCTTCTCCACTTCCGATCCAGCTCCCTGCTAATGCGCCTTAGTAAGCAGTGGAAGATGAGCCAAGTGCTTGGGCGTCTGTACCCAAGTGCAAGACCCAGAAGAAGCTCCAGGCTCCTAGCTTCGGCCTGGCCCAGCCCCAGCCATTGCAGCCATTTGGGGAGTGAACCAGTGGATGGAAGAACACTCTGTCTGTATGTCCTTCTCTCTGTTAAATCTAACTTTCAGATAAATAAATCTTAAAAAAAAAAAAAGTAAAAAAGACTGAATTGGCATGGCTGAATTCCTAGGGATGGACTAAGTGGCTGGGGTCATTGCTTACAGAAGTGTCTTGAACTCAATTGTGCTTCTGTTGAGTGGAAAAAAAAAAACTTTATTTTTAAATGTTTGCCTTCCAATTTCAATTCACACAGACATTCTGAAGTCCTCTTGTATTACAGCTGATGTCCTAGATTTTGTTTGTCAACAACTCTAAGTCAATGGCAAAGTGACTAACAAATAATAGGGCATATTGGAAAAAGAATTTTAAATTAGGCAAAGTTTGTCCGATGGCTCTTTATCCCACCAAGAGACTCAAATCACTGAAAATCAGAGGCGGGAGATGAAACTCATTAGGGAGGAAGGATGAATAGAAGGGCAAGGGAAAGAGAAGTGGACAAAGATAATAAACAAAGACACCAACAAGCCCATGCCAGCCATGGTGTTTTGAGCTCTAGCTGCGTGCTGGTTCATAGACACTGCTTCACCCTGCCACCGTGGAAGTGTCTGTCCCATTTCACTAACAGGAGTAAGTCATTTCCCAAAGATCACCGAGTGACCAGAGCCTGAACTTGAACCCAGACGTTAAAACAACTCTGTGGGCCGGCGCCGCGGCTCACTAGGCTAATCCTCTGCCTTGCAGTGCCGGCACACCGGGTTCTAGTCCCGGTCGGGGCACCAGATTCTGTCCCAGTTGCCCCTCTTCCAGGCCAGCTCTCTACTGTGGCCAGGGAGTGCAGTGGAGGGTGGCCCAAGTGCTTGGGCCCTGCACCCCATGGGAGACCAGGAGAAGCACCTGGCTCCTGCCATCGGATCAGCGCGGTGCGCCGGCTGCGGCGGCCATTGGAGGGTGAACCAACGGCAAAAGGAAGACCTTTCTCTCTGTCTCTCTCTCACTGTCCACTCTGCCTGTCAAAAATAAAATAAAATAACAAAAAACAACTCTGTGAATTAAGCAGACTGTCAAAGAAAGGCCAAAAAGGAGGCTCTCCAGATGACAATCAATTAAGAGACTGTCGCAGAGAGAGACCAGGCAGGGATGTCTTCAGCAGATACCGCCACGGGTGACCATCCCAGCTGCCACCAAAACACATCCAAAGGCAAGAAAACCCTCTACCTTTCTGAGCAGCTCATCGCATCGCTCAAGATCTTTGTTAGAAAAAGTCTTCTTTACACGACGCTAGAGTCTGGCCCTGCGTGAACGTGCGCGAGTTGTTCCAGGTTGTCACGGGAACGTGAATCTTTCATGTTTGTGATGATCCTGCAGGACAGACTGCCCAGACCCCTCACCCCTCGCTCCCAGGACACGGTCTCGAGGCCACCAATCACCTGGCCTCCTCCTCCAGACCGGAGACACCCCGGCTTCTCACTAGAACGTGCTGGGGTGCGTTTCTCACACCTTCAGCACCCTTGGGCTCCATCGACACAGCCTCCCATCACGTGAGCCTGGGGAGCAGCCAAGGCACACACTCTCTGAAGACCCACGCGTGGTCCTCTTCCCACGGCTGTCGGCTTGCAATATCTGCGTTTATTTATGTTATCTGGATTGTTTCTGCAGCAGGGATCCGGGTTACTGTAACTGACATCTTTGTCCGTAGATTTCCTTGGCCCATCCCCCTGGTGAGTAACAAGCACCCGATGTCACTGTCTATGCACTGTACTGCAGAGGACAGCTTGTATGGAAGAGGGACAACTTCCCTCCGCGCTGAGAACGGCAGAGCAACTTTGCCCCGGGTGTCCACGAATTTCCTCGGGAAAATAAGAGCGAGGCCTTGGCTTCTCACCTTTGACTGGGGACGCGTGTCTCCAGAGGACCGGAGGCTCTCGTGGTTGACTTCTCCTGGGTGGTCTCCTTGGTTCAGGCTTTAGCCCCCTTCTGAACACACACACAGCTCTACAAGGAGGTAAATCCCCCAGAGTCCTCTGGGTCTGTCCAGTCATTGTCATAATTTAAC